TAAATGAAAACGTTTTTAAAACTTGGATTAGATTGAAAACCACACACATCGAAATGTGTGAAGCAACTGATGTAGATGTGGCGCAATACAATCATATTGGTGATGGACGGTAAGTCATATTTCGACGATGATACGGTTGTGAGCATTTGCCCATACTTCATGTTCTCACGGAATATGAAGTCAACATGGTATGTATGTATGGTGTAGTGGAAACACGTGCTCCTAGAAGATCAGAAGTGTATGCCGATCCAATCAGGTCATTCTTGAGTCATTTTGCACAAGCGGTATCCGGTATCTTGGTCCGAATTCTAAACCTGAACGCCAACAAACACCTGCTATTCATCCTTAATAATAACGAGAGTTGTGGAAATGTCACAATGAATATTAAATGACACCGTGATTTCGTGGTAGATAGTATGAGTGAAGTCAGTTAATGTTAAACAGGCAAGCTTTTGAGACAATCATCAACCTAGCAATCCAAGAGGTTAAGGGTGTTGATGTGGAACATAAGAGGCCTATCTACAACTAAGTACGTGAGTGCACATCCGATTTGGAAGATGGCGGACATCCTCAACATTGTTGAGACTTGGTAGCATGAAAGTAATGCTATTGGAGAGATACAAGGGTTTACTCTCGTGGGATCTACTTGGAACCATAGAAATCGACGAGCAGGAAGAGGCTTTGGAGGTATTGCTACTTTCATCAGATCTGAACTTTTTCTTATGATACATTTGGAAAGCCAAGATATTGGAAAACAATATCATTGGCTTCGTCTTGGATTGATTGGAGGATCTTACACTTATTTGGCAGTTTGTTACTTTGCACCGTTATCCATGCAAATCTACTCCACAAGCACTTGCAATCGAAATCAACCATTCCATCGGCTCATAGGAGATGTTCTCAAATATCAAAACAAAGGTGAAGTTTTTCTTGTTGGAGACTTCAATGCCCGCATACGTTCTGCTCAATTTACACAATTTGATAGTTACTTGTCTTCTTCCTCTTTTGAAGAAAGTAGAGATAGTTTGTGGTCTAGAGTCTCTTGTGATCCTTGTACAAATGATTTGACTGAGTATTTCTTCACTTTTGGAGCCACTTGTAATCTGAAAGTTCTCAATGGTGTTTCTTTCTTTCCCAACTCTCACTTTTAATACATGTTTTTCCTCTACTGGGGTTAGCACTATAGATTATCTTTTGTCCTCTACCACTAATAGTTCATTTATCTCAGCGTTTGATATTCTACAGCCTCAATTAGAATCAGATCATACATCTCTTTTATTTACTATTTTGTTGTCAATGTCAATCACTCTCTCTACATGTCACTATGTTTCTACTTCCCCCAAGTTTTGTTTAGATGCTAGTAAGAAGCAACTTTATAGTGAACATTTCCAAGACCTCTTGATTCGTACTACTTGGAGCCTTGATCCACATACATCTAGTTTGCAACTAACCGAGTTGCTCCAAAACTCTGCTTCTAAGTTCTTTTTGAGACATAAGACCAGGAGAGCTAGAGGTCTTCCTTGCAATGGATGGTTTGACTTTGATTGCAAGCAAGCGAGGGCGAGATCACTTGATAAATCCTTGGATCTTCACAATCGGTTGATTATGACAAGACTTTACAAAGACTTGGTGAAATCTAAGAAACGAGCTTTTTTGAGGCAAAAGCAAGAGTGCTTGACAAAGGAGCTCTTGGAGAATCCCAAATCCTTTTGGAGGCGGTTGGCAGTACGATCTTCTAAACCTACTCTTGATCCCAAGTCTTTGATTTCTTTTGCTGAAAAGCTTTATTTTTTTTTCCAATGTTGCATCAATGCCACATTGTGAAGGAAATCCAAGCTTATTTTCAGAAGTTGAAGTGATGACTCAACTAAGACAATCGGCAAATGGTAAATGTGAGGATTTGGATGGGCTTTCCATTGAACTTCTCAAGTGGGGAGGAGATGCTATTGGGCCTATACTCACGAAAGTGTTAGAGGATGCTGCTATTCATGGCTTTCCTTCATCTTGGTCTCTACGGAAGATTGTTCCTATTCACAAATATGGGAGCAAGGCCTTGATGACAAACTATTGCGCTATCATGGTGGGTAGTATTTTTGCCAAGTTATTTGGCAAATTGGTGGAGTCAAAGTTGAGCACATGGGTTGAATCTTGTCAGAAGATAGCGCGGTTCCAAGCTGGTTTTCGTCCTACATTCAACACTATATACCATATCTTGGTTTTACGTGTTCTATGGGAGAAATCCAAGGGTAATGGAAAAGCTTTGTTTTGTGTCTTCATTGATTTCAAGAAAGCTTTTGACACAGTACCTCGTGAGCTTTTATGGAAAAGATTGCAAACCATTGGAGTACCATCAGATCTCTTAGCAGCGGTGGCTACATTATACCACTTAGTTCGGGCCAAGATCAACACTTCTCAAACCGAAGAGATTAACAGCACCATTGGAGTCATTCAAGGTTGTCCTCTCTCTCCTACTCTCTTTGGAGTTTTCATAGATGATATAGAAAGGTGCTTGGAGGATTGTGATAACGAAGGTGTTAAACTTGGCGGCTTTGTCATCAAAGCTCTTTTGTACGCAGATGATGTCATAATACTAGCACGTGATGCCATTAGTTTACAGAAACATCTTGACACTTTGGCTAGCTTTTGTACTCAAAATCAGATGGAGGTCAATTTGTAGAAGACCAAAGTCATTATTGTGGGCACTAGATACAAGCTTTCTTTCTGTTACAAAGTATTAGAGTTGGAACAAGTGAAAAGTTACAAATATTTGGGCATTGATTTCTCATCTGATTATAGTTGGGCACTTTGTGTACAAAAGAGGGTAGAAGCTGGTTTCAAAGCTCTATATTCATTGCTAAATAGATGTAGAGGAGCTCATTTAGTATCTTGGAGTCTTAGAAAATTTTTATTCAGGAGCTTAGTGTTTCCCGTTATCTTATATGGAACACAAGTGTGGGGTCCTGGTTGTAAGAAGACAGGTTGGCAGCGTTTGGAGAGGGTGCAAAAGATATTCTTACAATAAGAATTGGGTGTAAGGACCCAAACTTCTTATGCAATTCTTCTTGCGGAAACAGGTTGTCTACCTCTTGAGGCTGAAGCTCTCTTTTTTATTATTACTTACGTCAAAAGAGTGAGATCTCTTGATGCTTCTCGACTTCCTCTTGAAGCTTTGCGTGCCACACGTCCCAAGGGTTGGTTTGCAGATGTGGTGACTTGGTCTTTGAGGTGGAATGTGACGGAACTCGATTGGGATTTGCAACCTATTGCCCTACGCGAGCGTATTAAGGAGGAATTTCTCAGCATTATGTGGAGCAGACAAGGCACCAAGATGCAGTTTTATCAACTTCATGTGAATCCTATGCTTGTTTATTGTGAGCAAGGATACTTACTTGCTGAGATATCTACTTCTTTATGTCATATTATTGCTAGACATAGAACAGTATCTCATAGTCTTGGGATTGAAGAAAGGCGTTGGTTGAACATTGATAGGAGTGAAAGTATTTGTAGCTTATGTGATGGTAGGAAAGTGGAATATGAAGAGCATGTATTTCTTACTTGTACTAGATATGTAGAGATTAGAGTGGCTCATAAAGTTGTTGTTGAGAATTTTTATTCTTTGCTTCAGCTTGAGCCTTATGATTTAGGTTGTTACATTAGGGATGTTATTTGTTACCGTTCTAGTGCTTTGAACACTAGCTAGGGGGTTCTTTTGGTTCTCTCCTTGTTGGAGTTGGATTTTTTTGTATTGTGTTATTTAGCCTTTTGACACTTTGGGTACCACGGGCTTGATCTATTTACCATGATGTCCACTAAACTTGTTGATGGATCGTAATCAGACATCGTGTTCGAAGTGGCATGAGACTTTTCATCATCAACGATTCCACACTCTCTTTACACTTTTTCAGTTTCGTTTACTCTGTGTTCATGTACATTCAGAACTCAGAGGGCATTGTGATGTTGGCTTCAGTGAATCAATTGAAGATTATGGAAACTCTTACTATCCATATCGTCTAGACTTGCCTGAAGGAGAGATACATGTCTCAACTTTACCATGTGCGTATGTTATCAACTTATTAACATAGTTAAAGGTAGACCGGGTGTTTGTTATCAGCTTATTAACATAGTTAGAGGTAGAGAGGGTGATACTGACTACATTTGCTCCCTCTACACTCCCAGAAGTTTTCCTTTGCGGACATGAAGCCAAACAGGTGTGTCAGTAAATAGCCGTCTTCCAATCTTTAGATATCTTAGCAACAATGGCCGATAAGGGAATTGGAGACGGCGGAGAAATTGCACAAATTGGATGATCCGTATGAAGGCCAGACAATGTATCTTGACTTTAACCACACTGCTGTTCGAGAACGTATAAAGTTGCATGCCGAAGGGTATACATGGGACTAACCTCCTAAGGATCGACAAAACAAGGGGACGTTCAGTATGCAGAGTTTTATGTCCACTGTAATCCACTAGGTGAAGTCACAATGCATTGGAGACTAAGGATAAGTAGGTCGGAGGCTGTAACAGAAAGATGTAACTTCTGTTACATTATTCTGTTACAGCCTTCGAACTTATTTATGTGGCAGTGTACATGGAAAGTTCTTATGTATTCCTCGTAAGAAGTCAAAGGCCGAGCCTACGACCATTGATGCAAATTAGGATCCAGGTTAAACAAACCCTGACAGGTCAAGGACAAGATTGTGCCCCCTGGTGCTATCTGTTCCCTCCAGTCCACCTGACAACCTAGATCATGAATAAGAACAACCTTTATGTACTCTCATCTATCCACAAGACGATTCACAGGAACAGCCTAGGCCCCAGTAGTATTTAACACATTAGCTTCATCTAACTTAGAGTGGCATTACGTTCTGCCACAAATTGGTCCAACTACCAACCTGAACAAAATAAAACTTCAGGGATATAAAGTTAGATCGGAGCACTTAGTGGGTGTCCGTTACACCTAACTGTTCAGAATTACACATTGACACAGCCAAGAGCTGAGCATATGAACAAGGTTCCTGATTTGAGTTCTTGGTAATGGGTTTGATTAAACGTTAGGAGAAAGAGCGCAGACATGAAAGTGACAGCAAAGAAGTGAGCAGATGCCACTCGACCGAAGAGATTAATTTGGAAACTTTTTAAATTGATAAATTTTGAAAAAGACAGCTGATATTGACCTAAATCTCGTTTGATACAGAGAAAAATTTGATATGATGACATTGCCAGACCTAGAACACTAAACCACCTTCTCTTGCTGCTTCTGCGAGAGCTTGGATGCGTCCAGTGTACACGAAACCGCCTCTGTCGAAGGCCACCTGTGTGATTCCTTTCTCTAGGCAGACCTTGGCAATCTCCTCGCCAACTCTCTTAGCAGCATCCTGCTCAGCACATCATTCCCAACCGACAGTTCATCAGTAGTTTGCATAATAGTACATTTCATTGTGCTCGAGACAAATGGTTAATGAAAGGGCCATTGCTTTACTAAACAGCGAGTGAATGTCAAAAAATTCCTCAATGCACTGTAGTGTGAACAAATATTTCTTTCTCAACGAGTACTTATCAAATTGTCTGAGAGAGCGTCCTAGAATTGAAGGGAGGCAGTATCTTACAATCGTTGGACCGGAGGTAATGCCCAGCTCCTCACGCATTGGCTTCGTGAGAGTCGACGATGAGGCAAGAGTGTGTTGCTTCGTGTCGTCAATCACCTGCGCGTAAAGGTGCTTGTTGGAGCGGAATACGGCGAGGCGAGGCCTCTCTGTGGTGCCATTGAGCTGAAACACGCAAACACGGGCCTTAAATGATCAGAATTATAATTCAAATTTCAGAGTCACTGACGAGTTTCGAGCTAGCTCGAGAAAGCAAGCAGGCAGGCAGGCAGGCAGGCAGGCCAACGTGTAGTCCTGAGACGAACGCGCTGTGCATTCGACACACCCATTCCAAAAGAGCGAGGGGGAGATTCGGAAGCAGAGGGAATGGCGTAAGAAGGCCGCGCGCCATCCCCCGAGAGACACAAAACATGGAATCGACGCCATAGAAGCGCGGGCTTTACCTTCCTGCGCAGACGGCGGTGGCGGACCTTGATTGTCTCCCTCCTGGTCGGTTCCCTGGCTTCTATTCTCAAGGGCTCGTTCAAGCGAACTGCAGCGAATGAATCAAGGCCAGAGACAGACATTCGTCAAATTTCCAACCAGCCGCTCCAGACCAGACCACACACATTCTTGCGAAGAATTGCAAATGCTCGACGGACCCAAAGATTCAGCACATGAGGACGGAATCGAGAGCTTACCGGTGCGCGAGGCCGAGAGAAAGGGGCCGAAGGCAGTGGAGGCGGTGGAGAAAGACTTGACGGAAGCGAACTCGCTCGAGCACGAGGACGCCACGAGCTTCGAAGACGACGACAGCGAGAGCGCTGCCATCGTCCCGGTGACCATCGCCATCGACGCCATAGCTCTGAGATGCTCGTCTGCTCTCTCTCTCTCTCTCTGGCTCTCGAGGACGCGGAATCAGTGGGCGCTGGAGGCGAATGAGTGGGAGGTCACGAAACCGGCAGCGCTGGCTTCCGCCTTCGCAATTGTCTTCGCTCCGCTCGCTCTCGTCTTTCTCTTTCCTCGACGAAACAACGCTATCTTTTCCGGATATACTTAAGTTCGAGTTGCGTTGTCTCCTCTCAAATTCCATCCTTATCTCAAGTCAAGTCCAAGTTAAGTCCAAGTCAAGGTCGAAGTCCATAAGTTCGTCCGTCCGTCCGTCCAGTCATCCCGAGCGATGTGTTTCCGTCACCGAAGAAAATGTTTACACCGCGAGTTGCATAGAGCACTTACAGATATCTCCCGACTAAGTAAGCATCTAGATATTAGGAGGATTGTGCGTATTTAGGCAAATTCAGTTAAATTTCATACCGGGTATATTTCCGGTGAGCAAATAGTCACCGAGGTTCTAATATTTTCAAATGCAGGATAGATAAACTTATCAACAATAATTAGTAAACTCATGAAAGATTCATACTAATTTTTAGATTTTTTATTCAATTCAAATTTGTATCAACTATTATACAAAATTTACCTAGACAGGTCTTCAGATTTATTATCACAATTTTAAATTAGACAAATTTATTGTAAAAAAAAAAACCAAAAAAAACTACCGAATGACCTTTAGATGTGATATATGTTGACCCTCTAGTTTGCAAGTACAAAGTTAGTGAACCAACTCAAAAAAATGTGTGAGACAAATGGTACCAAATCTTAAAAAGATGTGACTAAATATCTGAACATAAAAAAAAATATTTTTCAATCTGGTTGGTAGTTTAATTGAGTTTGGAGAAATGCTTTGACATGCTTAGGATCAAATTCCCTATTCTGCAATTGCCAAAACAAAAAGTATTGCATTAAGTTTAACAATTTTGGCTAAATCAATCACGAAGCTATGAGGATTGCAAAATGTGATACTTATCAAAGAGATATTTGAAGTCAACAGATCCTATCATGTATTACTGAAAGCTTTAGACGAACTTTGCTTGTTTATTGCTCAATACTAACTGAAAACATATATAATATGATTCATACTAGCTAGTTGTTTTGTACTACAATGGAAATACATCTACTAATGCCAGATGATGAAATATCAACCAAAAATTGGTACCAAACAGAAGAATCTTCCGGACTTGCATTTTAAACTAAATAAATATTGATCCCCATTTTTGGAGTAAAATGATGCGTACTTATTCGTAATTTATTGGGGAAACTGACTACCAATCCCCTATCAGTGGATGGTTGCGCTAGTTAAATTTTGTTATGATGATTTTGTAAATACGAGATGTTAACATTTTTGCGTTATGATTTTAAAAACAGATTTGTAATTAATGTCATTTTGAAGTGCCACATTTGCTATTTTTCCTAAAATGTGCTTCATCCAGGGAAATACAGCCTTTGTGATGCAATTCATATATCGAGAGGATGGGCTCACAATGTACATTGAGTTCCATTCCAAACACCTTATGGGGAGGTTTATAGGGAGGTTCTTTCAGCAGAAAATTCAGAGATACTATTTCCTTGTAGAACTTATCCTAAACTATGCAATTAGATTGAAATTTATAATATATTAATACATTTGACTTTTACTGTGAATTCTTATACGAACAAATTTGAATCTTCTGCACTACTTTGATAAAGATGTAATACTTTGTCAAAAAACCTGAAATCTGCTCTTTCCAGATAAGTTTCAGCATGTGTGATCCTAGACCGAATATTATGATTAAAAAAATGCGAAACTGAACATCGGGCTTTTTTACTTGTGGTACTTATTTGTGTTATGTGTATTTGGTTCGATAAGACCTGAAAGTATCTTCAAGGCTGATCTAACAATGAAGTAAATTCCACCACATAGATTCACACCTGTGCAATGCATGTCATTATATTAACAATTACACACAACTTTTTGCCTTAAAGATACTAGCACATTCCATTAAGTAACCTAAATATATTGTGATGCCTTTTCATACATGTTAGATGAACGTAGTTACACAGAATAATTTTGTGCAGACTGTTTGATTGTACAAATAGTTTCAAAATCCATGTGTAATCTATATAAAAGAATATATTTATGCGCATTTTCAACTATGAAGTGTGTATCATCAGAAGTTTTGCAAAAATGTATATAGATTTCATATAATCTTAAGGTAAAAAAATACGTAAACGTCAAATTTTAAACAAATAAGTATGAATTCTTTAAGATCAAAAATAAATTTATATAAACAATATTCTAAGATTCTTATAAATGAATGTTCCATCATATTGTGCCTAAATTAATTCTTCTTGCTGAAGTAATACACACATTTAATCAATGAAAAACAGTACCAAACGTTGAAATACTGGTGTGGTTGGAACCGTTAATGCTCAAACATAATTTCAATTTACTGTTTATGAGAGAAAAGTAGTAATAATAATCCAGACTTTAATAATTATAGTTAAAGTTAAATTATAAAATCCACTATCTTAAATAATGCGATTTAGATTTGAAATCGATCTTCACTGAAATACGATAGCTTATTACACGTTTTCAATATGAAGTGTTTTATTTCTTATTGTAACATAACATGAGGTCAGGACAAGAGCACTCAGAAATATATCATATAATAATTGAAAAAAACGGATCTTGTTGCAAATTTTAACTCCTTATCATACTAAATTTCTTTATATATGGATAAGCAAGACTTCCTCTTTATTTATATCATGAGATATGCATTATTTTGTGGTGTAATCGACATATTACATTTGCAAAAGATTCAAAGCAATTGTGACTTGAAATTACTAATGATTACATCCTCATAATGAACCATCACAGTCTTGTATGGAATTTACAAATTATTGAAATAAGAGTCATATTGATGTTTAATATTGTGAGAGGGTAGTATCTTGAAATACAAATCATAAATTTGGATAAAATAATTCACAAGTGCTACATGCGCACAATCCATTCAGCCTGTAATTCCATTCGCCAATATTGATATAACCCAGGCTGTAGAAATATCAGTACATTCCAACAAACATTTTTTTCTTATTATTATTGTGAAGATCAATAAACATATTAAGTTTCTTTTGAATATATATAAATATTTGAAATAAATATATTACTGTATACAAAACCGAAGTGTGATAGTGTAAACTTTGTCTTGTTGTATCAAGGTCGGAGTACAGTATGCAACCTCTGTCAGAGATTATCTGCACTTTTTCTCAATCTATTGTTTCGAGTAAACATATCTTAGTTTTGAAGACAAACAAGTCTTTAGCTGAGAGAGACATCTCATCGAGAGAGACATATCACAGTTGTGACGAAATTGCATCTTGAAGCTGAAACTAAGTCGGCCACACAATGCACATTTGCAAATACACAAGCAACCCATCGATATGCTCTAAGTAGAAGATGAGTATTGGGATCACGACTTTCTAGGATCACAACCTTCCAGATAATCTGCATGGATGGAAAAGGCCAAAGAAGGCCACCACCTTCAAGACAAAGGAACCACGGAACAGACCCTTCTGTACTCTTTAGAATACAGCCCCATTTCTACTCTGATGTAGGATACATGGATGCACGAGGTGGTTGGGGATTTAATTCTTATCGACAAGCCCGACGCACGTTGTCTAATTTGGATCCACGTAGCATTATTCGACACATCTACATCGATGCACCTCTCTTGAGAGGCCCCGCTAAGGTAAGATGCAGAGCTACTCACACATGCAAAATGTTATGGATTGATCTCAAAGTCATACCATAATAGTGACTCAATCAGCAAAAAATGGCAATTGGCTCTAGAATATAGATAGTAATATGCTTTCGAGTTACATTTGTAGCTACAGATTCAATATCGACAACTGGACGACAGTGACTCCTCAAGTCACCACCCTTCTAAGAAAGGTGTAACCCTACTCCGTAAAGTCTCGGGAAGTTTCTTCACGGCAGCGAAAATGGCCTGACGAATAACAAGAGGCATTCTTACCACGGTAAGTAAAGAGCTGCTAGAAGAAATTAAGTAATGATTTAAAGACTTCACTCGCTCCTTATTGGTATATGAGTTAAACAGGGCAACAGGCAAGGGAAAATGGAAACTGTAGTAAATTGCGGAAGTCGACGGTACCTCTATTTGATAACGTGCAGAGAAGTGGATAAAAAGGATGGCTTTGTTCTCAAACCGATCGGCAAGCTCAGCAATCTGCTCGTGGCAGGAAAATCAAACGATTGGTATGTACAAAATGAACAGCCTCAAGGTAAATCTTGATCGAACAAATATTGCAACACGTAAGATACTGGACAACGGATACCACAAGAAGTACTGTGATCCTCTGACATATTATATTCTTCGCCAACTATGTCCATCCACTGTGACTAGCCGCGTGATGTGGGTACGAAATTTAAAATGGCAACAACCAGTTTCTTCTAATGTAACGATAATCGACGTAATTTGCTATCAGCCCTCATGTATGGAAAAGGTTGTTCGAAGTAAGGTTGAAGATGGCTGGACATCGATTTCTTCACATATATCTAGATTTGGGCCCAACAATCTGTAGATAAAAACGTGGAGACAAAAACCCGTGTCTTGGTGGGAAAGTAACGAACCTCAAATATATGAGTATGACCCCAATCACGAGCATGATTCAAAGTAGTACTCTCGTCAAGAAAAGTTGCCTGCGTTTCTCCAACAATCTTAAAAACTTAGGCAAGATACAGGAAAACAACGCATTTGGAATCATACATCAGAGAACACATTTGAAAGTTAGATATGTGATGACTTGCTGTAGGTTTGACCAACAACAAGTTGATTCAGTATTGGCAACTTTCATGAACTGCATAATGACAACGTGGACTATCACATCTCCCAGATCTGGGGTCCAAGTTTTAAAACTTCAATAGCATAAGGGACTGCAGACGATATCATCCTAATCAACACTTTATTAAGTATGAGGCCAAACTGCCGTCGGCAGACCCTATCTTTGAGTGACATCTACAGTTGTGGTAGTATTAGAACTAAAAGTAAGAGTTTGTAGTATGATCTGTTATTGCCCACGTGAAAGTCAATGTGCATGCAATCTGAATGAGATGCCTCATTGTAAGTATCAAGATGAGTACGAACGCTCTAGTTTTATACTGTATAACTGCAGTTGGTAGAAACGATGAACTAAATTCCTGAGGGCACTTCGTACAAACAATTGATAGTAAATATCAAGACTTCTTCATAAGGGGAATAACTTGGTGACAAAACAGTAGCAGGATAACAATGTCATAGATGAGGAAGAGATCAGAACATAGAGTTAAATACATACATAAATATGCTGAAATATATTACCTCCATAATTAGTAGCTTTGCTTTCATGACATCCACATTTGCCTGATCGGTAATAAATTCTGCAGTGGTGTCCCCAGTAAAAGCCACCTCAGGGGATCTAGAGATGTCTGTGATCTGCCAAGCAAAAACACCCCTTAACATACGATAGACGATTGAAAGACAGCTCATATGCGGAACAAGTACCATGCATGAAGTTATCTGACCTAAGGCAAGGAAAACTAAGGATGTATAGTGACCGTACGAGGAAACACACCTCAACTCCAGACATTTTCAAGTCTTTGATTTCCGGCCCCGAGAGCTTCAAGTATTCCGGCTTCAGCTTTTTCTTCACAGCATACACTAGGTAACCCTGCGGACCCACGAAGAAACTGAGTATCATAGTCAACGAGGCAACACATGGCCGAAACAAGAGTACTATGGATCTCTTCTGAGACTACGTTATGAGGTACGGGTTGCCACGCTTAATCCCATCAGAAGTATAATACATCTATTATGTATTCTCATTCAATATCAAAGGCTATAAGAGGCAAATACAAACTAATGAAGCTTGTTAGGGACGATAAGAAATACATGCACCTGACTGGGCACAACATGATAAGTCTTGAAAGCTTTAACCACGAGATTTTTGCCCATATCATACTCCTCACCGACCTGCAAAAGGTTGGGTCATGCAACTTAAAGGACAAACTATATATCAACTCAACAGCACTGTGGCTGGAACCACCACCCTGTTTCACGAAGTCCCCGGGCTTGGAGAAGGGGAACCTATGATAGTAATAACAATTCGTTGTATGAACCCGTAAAAACACTTGTTCCAGCTTGTAGAAAAAGTGACAATTTCAGAGAAACCGATACAAAACTGTTTTTGATACCTCTAATTGTTCACCTACATAGCAACACTAACAAGTTGATCAGGGAAGGGATTCAAAACTCTCTTTGCGTTTGCAGTTAACTTCATGTACTTTGCTCCGCTTACACCACTAGAAATACGACAAAAAAGGTTCAAGTCAAGAGCATACCCACATCCATGCCTATGAGATTGACTGCAAGCTCAGATCCATCCAACTCCCTGTAAACTGCCAGCAGTTTCTCCACGGTAGCTTTGATGCATTTCGGAACAATGACAGTCGGGGGCTTCATCTTGTAGAGTCCTCTTGTTGCCACGTACATGGCAATTCCACCCTGTATCATCATCCGCTTAAACATTGTATCACTTAATCATATCCTGGCTGATCTTCCTTCTTCAAGACTGCTATGAAGAGTGAGCTTCAATTCGGGAAGAATGAAAAGAATATAAAGCATATAGCCATTCTGATCCTCCTCTCAACAAAAGTCATTGAACTTAGGTTCCCTGGTGGAAAATCTAAACAAAGTGGAATGATAGAAAGAAATGACAAAGGTGGGAAGCATTCTCACAATGTGATCCATGTGACCGTGGGATATAAAAAGAAAATCGTGAGAAATGGCACGCTGTGGACAGCGACCGATGTCAAAGGCGACTTTGATGGATGGAATCATGATACATGTCTCGTGCCCACCGATAGATATCCCTTCTACGGAAAACCCTTCCACCTCTACAGCTGGTTTCGTTTTACTTCTCGTGGTCACCTTGGCCTCCTGTGTGGAAACCTCCGACATTTTCACTTCATCCACAACGCTTCCCTCCAAAGCACTTGCACTACGATATGCGCTGCATCCAACAGAGGCAGACAAGCTCATCGTTCTACCATTAGCAGCAGGAAGAATGCAAGTGCGCACGATGTTGCCGCTGATACCAGCTCGAGACAAGGCGTACAGATGAGGAACTCTGAGATACTGTGACCTGTAGTGAGGCAGTAGGGTGATCATGGGTCTGGAAGAAACTCTGCAGTCTAAAGCTACAAATCCGGTCCTGAAATCGCGTCCGAATCAAACTTCTGTCCCTCAAAACTGGTTCAGAAACGTCCAATACTTGCTCACTCCCGGAAACTCTCAAATCACGAAATCTTCACTCGCAGTTCCTTCTGCAATCGGTCCAAGAAACCCAACCTTTGAGATCCTGAAAACCCAACTCGACACCAAGTAATCCCAATTTACACAGCACAACATCCACTGACAATGAACATCAATTCCTCAAAAGCTATGGAATCGACTAAACCCTCGTTGCCTACCCTGGAAACCTGTAACCAGAAAAAGAAACACACGCCATGCGAATCATTCCAATTCACGTCCACCTGTCCCAGACCCAAATCCAGTCAGCTCGCAATTTCACATACCTGGTACGAAGTGAGGCCCCTGCTTCAAATTCTGCTTTCAGGATACCTGTCGCGTCTGAATTCAACACAATCTCATCAGAACAGATTAAAGACGTACCATGTAGCCAGATGAGCACCTCATTTCTTCATTCGCTGTCATTTCTGCTTACCGTGATTATACGGAGCGAGTGTTAAGTTAAAACCTCAGGCGACTACTATCCCATCACTCTCGAACTGGATGGAAACGAAAGTGGCGTCGGGAGAAAACCATCAAGCATGAGCTTCTCGCTCTTTTTTCTAAAAACTCCTCGATCATGTCCACCATGCAAACAGAAAAGGAAGAAAAGAAATATTATGGCGCTCAGCAAAGTTCACTCATCATCGACGCTTTCGATCGTGTTAAATTCGCATAATGGTCTATCTACGGTACTGCGATGGCCAATAATGCCCAGCCATTGTTGTGCAGGTTTTCTTGTTGCCCTGATCCATTGGCCTCTCGATCGAAACTGCCAACCGACTTACGCCTTCGCCTGGTGTTCATAGTGAGAGCATTTTTTTTGGAAATAGTTGTTTGGCAAATGGGGTACACACATTATAAGTAGAAGTTTGCTTCCCCATAATCCGTTTGATACTTAATCCCAAGAAATAATTCCATCAACATGCAAACCATTCACAAACTTGAAGTCCACATTGACCATAGTGAACACCTTCTGGTTAATTATAATGGAACTCCACTGTAACTGGTGACCAGTTACAGCATCACATTAACCCCCACATGTGTTGCATTATATTACACAAGTGGGAAATTCTTCTTGTTACTACGAAGGAGAATGAATTTGGCCATTTTTTGGAATAGGAAGTTCTATTGAGTCGCAACAGATATGATCTTTCAGACAATAGTTTCCAAATGTCAGAAGTACTGCCAGTTAGAAATAGATCAAATTCTTTCTCACTGAATGAATGAAGGAAAGAATGAGATGAAAAAAAATATGCATGTAAGGGCAACGGTCTTAAGGTTGGCAGAAGATGCTCTGAAAGATCCAATAGTGATGGACATGGAGGAGAGCCAATGTCTCCAGGCCGAATTATGCTACGAAACATCGAAATTGAATGAGTTTGAAGAAATGAAGCTCTACTTTTCTTCTCGACAGTTGACTACTACGTTGGTAGATGAACTGGTCATAGTTTGTACAACTTCTTAAATCCGCAGGTGATATCTTCGCTCGCACTAAAGGAACTTGAAATTCAAGGTCCATTGTAACGGAGTATATCACATATCAACTGATTCAATTGATAATTAAACTTATCCTTAAGCTTGCTTACTTTGAGTTAAATAGGTTCTGTATTGGAATGATGCTTTTGGGCAACCGAATGCACTGAACTGAAGAGTACCCGGAGTATTGTTTACAATGGGAAAGTTGATTTGGGGATGTTCCAAAGTCGGGGGTTTAAATTTTATATTTCCTATTCTAGGTTTCGATACTACGGTGATGCTGATGTTGCGTGATGAGAGGTCGTGGTGAGAATTGACAAACCATATCCTCACCGTACTCTCGAACTTCAGTCAACATGTTGATGACGTTCTCGTGGCTTCTGTTAGTTATTCACCGCTCTGTACCTTCAAGCCATGGGGCTATGCGTAGCACCTCTTTGAACCTTTTGCCACAGCTCAATATTGACTGTCTTCAATCCTTTCAAAAGCCCCCAAGGTTGAGAATAATTATAACTAGTCAAAGCCAACAGGCTTTTCATCCGTTAAAAATTTACATTAGAAGAAACGGAGTACTACTCCACACTGATCAAAAAATATATCATTCAACCCGACCGATGCATCGCCTTCTGCCCCCTACTGCAACGATGAGGATCTCGCCACGAAAACATGAATTGAGCTGCGCTGCGCTCCAATTAGTACTTCAGATTCGTGCCCAACTTTTCAGAACTTTTCCTTCATGCTACATCTCCCCCGGACATCATTCCAGGATAACGTGATTCGAAGGGCACAGGAAAGCTTTGCATAGTTTCTGTCGTATAAATATATATTCGAGGACGAAGTTCCTCACAAGGCTATGTCAACGATGAGTCACAGCGGCCTATAGTCTTTGTCGCTCATATATATATATATATATATATATATATATAATATCACATTTACAGAATATCAAATTGGGAGGGTATTGATGTTAAAATAACATAGACCCAAACATCATGGATGAAACCATAGAAAGTTCACAAAGTAAGGTAAAAAATTGGTTCAAATCCAAAGAAGAGTAACTAAAAAATTATGCTTTTACTTATTATTCAATTGAGAAGGTTCATAAGGCTGAAATGAATCTATAACGTCTATCACGAATTTTTTTGGCAAGACGATAGATTATTATTTATTGTCCAAGTCAATGTACAGGGGAATGTTTTCTAGGAAACTGAAATGCATGTTTCACACGCTCCAGTACTAACTTCTCGAACACATAAATGATAAAAAATTGATGCCAATTCTAATCTTCGGAGACTCAGCGAAGCATAGTGTGGGCGATGACTGGGCCAAATGGTTGACGCGAAACAGCCCCCAGCCCCCGCCCCCAGCCCCCAGGGCCAATGCCGCCGGTCAACTGGCTCAGTTCGCGTTTCACCTGAAGGGCGAGCCGGTTGACGGCGGTCAATGGACAGACATCGGAGCCGAAGTCAACGGTACCTTAGAGGTCCCGGCGATCACCGCCCCGCCCCGCCCGGCGATGAAGTCAAAGGCGAGCACGGACGGATTCTACTCGTCCGGTGGACGTGAGGGGCAGACGGAAAATCCCGAGGACGAAGTCCCGGCGATTCGATCACGCCCTCCCTCGCTCGCCTTGCTTTGGGCGATGGCGCAGGAAGAAAAGAAGAAGAAGAAGAAGCAGAGTGATTGATTGAGAAGGCGCAGGAATTCCACAGGAGCTTCATCGACGGTGGAAATCGAGGGAAGCGCGGGCTCGAATTTATGGAAGGCGGGCGCGAGTGAGTTGTGCAGCAGAATGTTGCCGCGATCCCGGACGTCGCTCGCGTACAGCACGAGGGAGAGGGAGGAGGTCGACGCTGCGTGCCCGGCTCAGCCTGAGGGACAGACGCCGCTTGTGGCCGCAGCAATTCTGGCAAGGCACACTTGAACTTGAACTAGCTCGCTCGATTCTCTGCCCTTGTTTCCTCCATCGTCGCTCTCCTCTCCTCTCCTGGCTTCCCCTTCAGATGCACGTCTAGTCGGTCGACTGCTGCGCTGGAGAGCTTCAGTGTCTGTCGGCTTTAGCGTGGCAGCAGCTCTCGTTGAATTCTGTGTCCATCTTTCTTCGCTGTTGAGAATTCGAATCGACGCATGGAGTAGTGTCACCATAGCACGAGGCGGTCTGGGCTTCCAATCGCCATCATCGGAGAGAGGGATGCAGCTGCAGGGAGTGGATGGAGTAGTTTAGAGACGAGAATTGAAGAGGCAGGCAGGTCCGGAGAATGGCCGAGCACGCAGCAGCAGCAGCCTCTGTGGGTGGTCGTGGTGGTGGTGGTGGAGTGACAGTGCTGGTTCTAGCGCGGAGGGATGAGAGACGACGGGACGCATGAGGCTGTGGATCGATTGTTGTGGTGGTAGCTAGCTGGAGTGTGTCCGGTGCATTTTTCCCGTACCAGCGATGGAGATTGGGAGTTCAGGAGAGCTTGAGCTTCTCCGGGGATGCATGAATATGGGGGATGAAACTGTCTAACGAGGACGGAGTGGCGTTGACAGTTGCAGGACGAATTTCTGTCGAGGCAGGAACGCGTCCGTGCGTCGTCCGTCGTCCCACAGCACTGCGACGGTATAATGCAACACGCGACCCGGATTGGTGTCGGCTGTAGCGTTCTCAGCGTCAGAAGAATCGAAGAGAAGTTTCCGGGGCGTGGAAGTGGAATAGGACAGATCGGATCGTTAATGCGGAGAGACTTATGGCAGCGAGTGGCGTCCACTTCTGCAATTGTGCGGAAAAAATCGTCGAGAAAAACATCGGCGACTCGCCCGAAAAGGCTTGGGATTGGGTCATCCTCTCGGGAACCCTGCTTGCCATCCTTCCGTTCCTGGTAGCGAATGCAGTAATCATCGTGCATCGGAAGCGCCGCTACTTTCAAGCGTCGGGATGGGAGCTGATTCTCGGCAGCTCGGTCGCGGGCCTCATCTGGATTGCTTCGGCTCTGGTGGTCAACCAGCACTTCAACCGCGACAGAATCGCCTTCTTCGGCTACTGCGCTCTGTGGACCTTCTGGTTTCAGGTCACGCTGGGAATGTGCGGATGGCTGGCCTTCGTCTCGCTGCGGCTCCATTTCATCTACATCGTGGTCTGCACTCGAAGAAAGCCCAACCCCTGGACCATCTGGGGCGTGTACCTGCCTTTGATGCTGGCCCCGGGCATCGTCTTCTCCATCGTGGCCACCGTCGAGCTCGTCAGTAAGCATCCGTGGTAAGAGCTCCTCGAGTGGATGTCGATTGTGCATATTTGAATGGCGAGCCAATCTGCTCGATGTCAATGTCGTTCCTCAGTAGCTCCTCCTCGTGAGGTGCTGGAAGGTTTTCTCGAACGGACGAACAGAATATGGAGGGAGATGGTACTACGAGGAAACGCCTCACACTTTGCACAATTCTCGAGTCTAGACTCGAGAATTTGGAGGTGCATTCGTAGAAGTCGGTGGGGGAGTGTGGCAGTGTCTCGAGCATAGCTAGCCTAACCCTAACGTGGTGCAATGTTTCCATAGAAGGCTGCGATGGTTTTTCAGCACCACCTGTCGCTGTCTCGTGCTGTGCGTCGTGAGATTTCTGCGACGCTCTCGTGTCACCATCGTCACAGTCAATTCACGCCATCGACGAGCCAGTCCGCTGACCATGCGCGTCGTGTTTGTGCAGTGTGCCCATCGGGTTCATCGAGGGGACAGAGTTGTGCACGCAGTGCATGCAGAGGTGCATAGTAAGCAGCACAGCGTGGAGATTCATCACTTTTTTGGTGCTGCCTCCGGTTTACTTCTCCTTCATCATCTTCACTCTCATCAGAGTGCGGAAGCAAACGGATTTTCTGCTGCGCACTCAATGTCAGCAGACGACGGAGAGTGCGATGATGGCATTCGTCCTCTACCTCCTGACGGGAACCACTTATTGGACCAACAGACAGAACTACGTGGAAGGTCGCTGCTTCTTGACCTTCTGCGTGTGCAGTCTGGTGTTCATCCGATTCTGGGTGCACACGGGCTGGCCCGTCTACTTGTGCTTGTTCCGCAGGGGAGACGCCATGGATAAGTACGAGGAAGAGCTGAGAAGGCACGGAGCCGTGTGCCTGAAAAGGGCCCATTACATATCCGCGACGGGTTGTGACATGAGCAGTGAGGCTGAGGTGATGTCGGAGTCCTTCACGTTTGACGGTCAAGAAGCCATCGTTTCGGCAATCGCTGAAATTCAAGCGGAGACTCACGATTTGAAGGTACCGAACGAGCGAACTATTAATCTTTCTCGATGACAGATCGATGCAGGAGCGAGTGTCGAGTGAGGAGTTTGTACATCGCTGGCTGATGCCGCCGAGCTAGGTCAATCCAGCTCTAGGAAGGACCTCGTGAGTGCGCTGATAAAATCGTGGGCTTTCTCCTCGTGCAGTTAAAGAGGGACTCGCTTCATCGTCGTATCAATCAGTTGAAGGCACAGATGGAGGAGTTCAAAAAACCTCCCGCTGTACCTTACTCCCAAAGTTTTGTCACCGGTAGAGAGATTGAAAAGGTAAGCGTGCTCTGCTCGTCTTCCCTCTCGTGTCGTGGCCCTTAATCTGATGTGCTGCACATTTATGTCACCATGCTTAGTCGACACCATCTCGCGTGACTTCATGAGCCCGATGACGTCGCCGTCCATAGAAACTGTGTTGGTTTTGTCGAGCAGCACTTTCTGTTTAGGCCTTTAATTCTTCGGTATAGGAGGATCTTCTTAGAGCCAATTCTCTGCTCTCCGTCTGCATCGCTTATTTCGGTCGGTCAGCTTTTCTAGGATTCGTCTTTCTTGTGCTGATGGCTTGCGAGTTCAGCATGCAATCGGAGGAAGCGCCATGAATCTGAGAGTTGTCGACTTTCTACCTCGTTTATTGCAGGGCCTTCCAGACACGGCCGTTCAACTCGTCACTCGTCATTTAAGCCTGGAGCTTCGTCCACATTCGACATGGTCACCAGGAAGTCACATGTAAATTCATCTGTGTGCAGTTGAAACTCATGCTGGTTATAAATCGCATTTGTATAGAATACTAAATTTGAGTGTTCGATTGGCACCCTGTGTACTCTTTGAGGTCTATGGCCTTCGGAACTCAAATGGGCTCGATAATTCTTTCTACTTGTACCTATTGACAGATCCTCTATCGGTACACTCCCAGGTGAGAAAATTCCAGAGTGGTGACCATGATGAGGACCGTGGTTCCTTGTCAAACAGGTCCTTGATCTTCTGTGCAGGTAGTCGCTGATTTTAGGTGAGCAGTGTTTCTGCTACCCTACTTGACGCCTTCCATATCCCTCTCTGTCTCTATCAGCCACGAGCTTATGCTCTCCATTTACCCGTCCTGCCTATGTGCAGAAACTCATGCTAGTTTTAATACAGGACGACGCTTGCATACACATATCAGTGTTCCCGTTTCGCTTCGATAAATTCGCGCTGCCTGTGGAAATGATCGGTTTCGTGTTCTTGTTCTCGAGTGTCGTTTGAGCAAAACTATGAAGATTTACAGCAGCCGACCGCTATGTTCCTAAAACTTTGTCAGCTCATAATGAAAGGTCCGGTTGTAGCGAAAGCAATCAGCCTACGTTGATGTTGGACCATGACTTGTTTCTCACCCCTTCAACATCTCAATCAACGCGCAATTGTGAAGTAGGTCTCGACAGGTTCCGTGGAACTGACTTTCTGTCGAGGCAGGAACTGTCTTGACCTCAGGTCTTGAAGTTTTGCGCACACAGAAAACGAATTACCACCCCCACCCCCAACCCCCCTTTCAAATCCCCCGTCTGAATGCACCTCGTTGGTAGTTTTGGACCACTTTGGAAATCATGTAACTTTTCTACTGCCCCTAACCTCTGGCAACTGACCTTGTTCTACACCTCACGAAAAAGCAGACATCTAGGGCCAACGAGACCTGGGAAGGTGCTTCAAGGACCCCACCTGCTCAACGAGACTTCATGGTCAGAATGAAACATCACTAGCAACTAGTACCACGGGGGAGCTTACAGAGCAAGGAGCGTTCAACTGCCAATCCCAGATCACAAATTTTGTCTCCCGCGTGGAGGTCTTTCATAGCTTTTTGTGGTGAACACAGCATCACCACACGCGTCCGAACACGTGCTTACCTCGTCCGGAGTGGAGTCGGAACCTTCATGAGAACCTGTCAACCTTCATGTATTGCGTTACAGTGCGATGGGAACAAAGTTTCTGCAGATGTTGTGCTGGCTAGGAACCCTCTTCGCTGGCGTCGAAGAGAGAAAGGTCCATCTCCAGACCCAATCGGACAACGTGTGCGTAAAGACGGCCTTATCTACTCATCTCTTAGAGGCATGGAGGCAACCGAAGCCCGTCTGTGGGTCCAGTCCAAGACGACGCACTTCCTGAATATGGTTCCGAACGATCGCCAGCAACAATTATCTAACCAACGAGGTAAAGTAAAGACGCACGAGTAGAAAGCTCGATGAAACACCATCGACACTCCAATCGATCGCACACTAAACAAAGGCCAGGAAACGAACCAATTACCATCAGGACAGAATTAAACTCACACCGCGGGGAACTTGACTTCGCGCACGTGATTCCTTCTTCCAGATCTGTGTCTGGATCGGAACACATGACGAATCGGTGGACAATTCGACCGTCCCCGAGCTTCCCGACGAGGAAAGTGTCGTCGCTGCGAAGATCATCGACGCCCTCTCCTCCCTGGGGCGACGCCAGCCCCGTCCCTGGACATTTGAAATTTTGAACCTCCCCTTCCGCTGAAGCCGCGTGCGGCCCATCCGTTGTCCTCGTAATGATTGTGAACCCGACTTAACGGATAACAGACTGTTTACTGAAGTCCAACGCTGCTTATCACCAACGTGGGAGCCCCCGACCACGTTAGATTGTTCTCAACTCGGTCGGACTCGGACTGCGTGGTAAATAAGGAGTGAGCGAGTAACATGGCGAAGAGGACGGGGAATCCGGTCTTTTCTGGCTACCAGAACTGGGTGACTCCACTGGCTTCTGGGCTTACTGGGTTAAAGCCGATACAGTTCCGTTACCCGAGAGTTACAGCTGAGACAGACTACACTTCTGGTTCTTGTACTGTAATGATCGGGCAATGATGACCACGCTTCTCTCTAACCACGTCCGTTAACACTGCGTGCACCTAACGGAACCCCTACAAAAGATTCGACACCTCGCCTGGGATCTATGAAATACGACAAACTGAGAGAACTTCGTCAATCTCAGAAGCCCTCTACCGTCGATCCCTGACCCCCACACCCCCCCATTCACACCTCGAGATTCGCACGTGCCTTGAGGGAGTAGATCTTTTGGACACTATATACAGTCATGCCCACGGTTCTCCCGGTCTTCCAACTGGGCCTGGTACCGACTCACCCAGTAACCTGTAACCATTTAACTCCTCTAGTTAACAATCACGGCCTTTGGATTACTTCCCGACAAATCAACAGAGAGAAACCGAATGGCTTCCTTCTCGACATACTGCTGTATTAAGAAGGTCCTTAACTAACCCTTGAAGTCGTTCAGGTTAGAGACAATAAATGCCAAATCTATATTCACTCGACATGTCACAAAGAGTATAAAGTCATCACACTTATCGAGTAAAGGGGAAAAACGTGATGAACTGCGAGAGTGAAAGCCCAAGTTGGCACTAAAGACGCTCAGGGGGGATCGCGGCTAACGACAAGTGGAGGGGACAAATATGGAGGTTCCTAATTATCAGTACATTTTCACGAAGCCCACGCCAAGGAATAAGTTTCTCTGGATGCGCCCGCTGCGCACTGGCGGAGAAAGATCGCGAGCTCTGACGCGAATGATATCGATCGATCGCTATTCGCGAAGGTTCAACGATGCCGCCGCATCGACGGGCCGGAGATGGACCGCCGTCGAGCACCCGCGGCCCGGGCCCGGGCCCGGGCCGTCCGGCGCGCGGGCCGCGGCCTGACAACATACATTCATTCATTCGCAGGGCGGGGAGGGGCGGGGAGGGGCTCGGCTTTTGGGCTGCCGGGCTGCTGCTGCCGTTTCTTCTGCTGCGGCCGCCGGCGGGCTGCGCTGCGCTGCGGGGGAACGAAGGGAGGGCGGAGGGCGGAGGGCGGAGGGCCGAGGGGGCGAGTGGGACGAGAGGTGGGCGTGCTCTGCGCTCGCTTTTCTTCCCCCCTCTTCTTTCCTTCTTGCGGGTTCGGTTTGGGCCGTCGGACGGCCACTTGTTTGGACCGCAGGGTTTTTTGGAGGGCAGTCGGTCTGTCGGTCGGTCGCTCGATCGATCGATCGATCGAAGGTTTGGATTTGATTTGTGACCAGTCCGGTACTGTACTTTCGCCTCTGCGCTCGAGACTGTACTTTCTCCCCCTCGCGCTTCGAGCTTCCTCTCATTTGGGAAGTGGTCGACGTTTGTGGCAGTCTCGTTTCGTTTCGACGCAGTGGTCGAGGTTGGTGGCTCTGGTTGCGTGGCGTGGCGAGGCGTGGCGTGGCGTTGCGTTGGGGTTTGGTGGAATGTGTCGGAGTGCAGGGAGGGGAGAAGCGGAGGAGTGATTTGGTTCGAGGTTTTTGTTGTTGTTGGTGTTGTTGTTGTTTCAGTGGGAGGGAGGAAAGAATCGGAGGATTGTGATGTTGGAGTAGGGAGTGGGAGGAGGTGACAGGTGGCCGAGTGCCGCTTGCTGTTGGGGAGTTTCTATGGAGCTGGCGTCGTCGAGTGTCAGAACGCCTTCGCAGTGCCTGGCGGAAGGGGTGGCGTGCATCAGGGCTTCTGATAGTGGTGGTGCATCTCACGCCGTTGTGGCGTCTTCTTCTTTTTCTTCTTCTGCTTCTTCTGCTTCTTCTTCATCTTCGTCGTCGTATGGTGTCTTCCTGTCCGGCCGAAGCTGCGTGGCTCCAAGGAAGGCGTGTGGGGCGAGAGTTGTAGCTTCGAGAGATCGGCTTTCATGCGGCTTGTCAGGATCGTTGTACAGGAGTTTTGAGCTCGAGAGGCCTGGTGGTAGTCCGAGGGCTCGTTGTAGTGTATGCGCAGGCTGTAAATTAGGGCAGTTTCTCGCGGCCGAGGGCTGTACTCTGCAGGGCGACGTCGCTGGGCCGAGTGGAAGGATTCACAGGACGGATTTTTTCGGAAGCTATCTGGACGTCAGTATGGGTCCGCATGGATTAGTCTGCGGCAGCCGAAACCTCCTAATTAAGAAGGAGAAGCTTAGTAGGAATAATTGGCCTTCTTCAAGTTTTTCCCAGCTATGTCACGCTTCCGCTTCTGCAGGGCGTACTTCTAAAAGTGGCCCACAGGTGCAGAAGAAGACTGTTAACAGCAACTCAGGCCACAGCGGCTGGAACGTAAAACGCACTGTTGGACTTATTAAGTTTCCTTCGACCTCGAAGCGCACTGCTTCTTGCAACAGGATCACCTCTTCGGTAAATGAAAGAATCAATCGGAAACAGGTCCGACACTCTCCCCATTTGAACACTCTGGTAGTCCTTTTATAGGCCATCTGATTCAAATCTGACGACGAGAAGGAATACAGTTTCCGTCTTGTAATGATGTACAAAGAAGTACTTTTGGGATCAGATTGGACATCGGAAAGGATCTTTACATTGCTTTTGCTGATACGGCCTATGACTGGAGACAATACATCAAGAAGTTCACGGGCCCATGCGTTCGAAATCAATAGTTTTTTATCATGCTGTTAAACAGGTCGTAGTATTTGCACTGTAAAGATGTGGAATCGTCTGACGCCTCGAAGTTGTGCAAACGCAGGCGAAGCGATGTGTACAAACTTTTGCAACACCATCTGATTACAGAATGTCGTATCCTGACGTTTCTGCTGATGCAGTAGCTTCATGTTCTTACCTCATTCAGGAGTAAGTCGCTTTTCCCAAACTGTCTGAAATGTTGTAAGCTAGAATTTTAGTATACTATATATTGGTAAATGACAAGTGGTCTGTTGTCAACAGATCATTTGTCAAATTGCCAATTGGAAGATTGTACAGGTCCTCTTTGGGGAATTAGTTTCATCGAATTCCGCTTGAGAAACATTTCTTCCAGGACTATTTAAGGTCCCAAATGGCTTCTCTGTTTTTTGCCACATTTTGTCATTCTGGGTTTGCCCAACAGTTTCCAAGTTTCACTTTTTCCTTGTCGGTTCAAAGTCACCATTCTTACGGTCTCAAATTCACCACTTTTTGCAGTGGAGATACACTCACTTCCATTGCGAATAAGTTCAAGACATCCGTTCCAGTTCTTGCGCAAGTCAATAAGATCGAGAATGTCGACTTGTTACTGGCTGGGCAACCAATTCTTATACCGAGAGCATATGAACGGGTTAGATTTCACCTTCTGTGTGTAGAAGCACGTGTGTATGGATAATTTTTTGTGCGGAAGGAATGTGTTGGAAGCTTGTGAGTAGAAGAGGATTGAGATGTATTGAGTGTGGCCTGTGCATTGTCCACGATAAAGAGATTACAACATTTGGCTTGGAATGTGTTGGAAGCTTGTTAGTTGCAGACGATGGACAAATTTGTATCACACACAGTGAGTTTTGCCTGTGTACCGTCCACAATGATTGTTTAGTAGCCCTTTCAGCACTTACACAAGTATGCACTTGAGTGTTGTTAACTATTTCTGACCATCTTTTTACTGACTGCTCTGACGTTACTTTCATTTCAGGTCCCTGGTCCCGGAGTGGATATAGACGAATTTCCCGTTCCATCTGGATACGAACTGAGAACGTCTCCTTCAACCACTGTGTATCACCAACTAGGTTATACAAGTGTTCCTAATGCCAGGGAAGCTACTTCAAATACTCCGGCTCAAGAATCTCGCAGTCAAGTACTGGCAGCATCAGTCATGCTGCCACCTGTTGGACCCAATTTTGTATGTGAGCAAACTTTTTACTTGCGTGGAACTCTTTTAGGGACTATATTTCTCCTTTTAGACTAGGTGGTTGTGGAATTGTTTAAATACTTGACAACTTGCAACTCACATGTCCAACTCTGCGTCGCCTTTATGTAGAGTTCTCAAGTGAACAACAATTACTTTCATATAATTGTGTGGAAAGCTTGTGCCCTCTATTTTTGTTCTTAACAGCTGGTTCTTGTCCTGTATGTCCCTGTATTTTATTTTGTCGGCTCATATGATGAACTGATGGAGATACTGAATAATTTCTTACAACTTCCAGGCCAAGTTCGCGGTCCCAGTACTGTTGATTGCTCCCCTTCTGGGTTTCTGTATCAGATGCATCGTGGATGCCCTCTACATTCACATGGATAAAGAAGCAGCTAAGCAACAATCTGAGAGGGAATCCTATGTAGAAACGCATCGGCCAAAAGCAAAGCGCTGGCAGAGAATATTGGAAGAGGATAGAGATTCAGATGACGGTGAAGGACCAAACTTGATGGTGAGTAAAAGCCGAGAAGTTTGTCTTTTTCTATCTCGGTCAAGTGGGCACTGCAGTGCATGATATGCATGTGACTTCTCTGTCCACGTTTGTATCAATTTGTATCTCGTGAAGGTTACTTATAGCTTTGGGGATTTGCCAACGACAGTCTGGCTGACCAACATATGTGGCCTGCAGAATGATTGGCCAAAAGACAACGTGTGGAGCTCCGAATTGACGGGACCTACAGAGAATATCTGGAGTTCTGAAGTCACTGACTTAATGGACCCTGACGCACGAGAGATGACCAGGGTTAGTTGAAAACATGAAACACCCTTTGTCAATAGTACGCAGATGAGACGCTCGCTAACTTCATACGTCGTGACCTGAGGTCGATTCTATTCTTTCTTGATCAGTTGAATCTTGGCGGATGCGATGGTACGGCTCATTTTGGCTGATCGCATTTGATTCATGTATGGAACGCAGGAAATACTTAGCATGGAACAAGAAGACGAAGTCGTCATAAGAGACGAAAAGGAGGACTATGAAGACATAAGAAAATCCTACGCTGAACTCGAGTCCTCCTACATGAAGTTTTTAGTGGATAGCGGTCTTTCTAAGTCAGGATATTGGCGAGGCGGAGTACCTACTACCACGGCTCACAACGGTGAGCCGCAGTAAGGACATGTCAGGACCATTTATGTATGATACAAACCCTTGTTTTCGGTGTCACAGGATTGCACAATCAAGGCATCTTCTATTTTGCACAAAAGTGCCTCTGGAGAGAATCGATCACCGTCTGTCCAAAGACGTCTCTTTGGCTCTTTCCTCCTTCGTGGGCCAATTTTACAGGCCCATTATCTGGAAGGTTTGTGTTTACCTTGATAGTGCCTTCAGTTGCATTCGTAGTCTGTACTAGCTTGGTCGAACCTTCTCAAGCAGGACACACCTGCCCTTTCAAATTAGAGTTTATTTATCGGGGCGTGGGTTTGTCGTTGCTGCTGTAACTATACTAGTGCTTCTTTGTCTAGTTAGTCTTTGAGAAAGACGAGGTGGTTTCTGATGGCTAGCCAGGGCCATGGCAAGAGTTTATCAATGTACAGTTGATTCGAAGATGCCAGGTTTTTCCTGGCTTGGAATGGAAAGAGAATGTTAAATTTTACTACTAACACCGTACTTGACATAACATAAATCCATCTCTTAATCTCTGTGAGGAGTCAAGGAGGTTTATGCGATTGTCTCTTTCGACTCTGTCTTTGGCGTGCTTAATCAGCTCGCATCACAGAATGTTACGTGAGATTCGATAAGCTGCCCTTGGGCTGCTTATCGAAGTTCAAGCTTCCCGGAGAAGAGTCAGGTAAAATACTGATTTTTTCATGCGTTCCTATTAATATGAAACGTCGCAATATCGACACCGATGATCCTGTTGATTTGTAAGTGGCAGTTTTTAATAGTCTGGAGTATTTCTACCTTCTCTTCAAAATAATTTTTGCCTACTACTTTTGTGCTTGCCCTGGTTTTGATGGGATTACGTAATGACCACCCTCCCTTGGTAGAGCGGTCATCACGTTTGGTTGGCAGGACTTGGATTGTGAGGAATATCTGCTTTCAATCTCTTTGAAGTTTGCCTTTGGTACTATTACAATGCGCACGTCCGCCGGGACTGTCTGTCTGATGCTTCTCTCCAGCTCCCTACTGTGGACTACCTACAAGCTTCAATCAATTTAAGGGTGTCAAATGTGCAACAGTAGATTTCGTTACCAATTGGCTTTTATTTATACACGGAGTGTGACATGATACAAGTAGCACGCGTATCTGTCGTCGGTAGAGTCGAGCTCAGTTAGTAATAACCTATCTAAGTCTGCCCAGCACGGCCGGCGAAATCATAAGTCGACGAAGGTTTGGAAATGATAGAACGGACCTTCTAATCAACTGCCATTTCATGGTCAAAATGCTGGAGGTGCTGTGCCGTGGTCTCGTTGTGGGGTCGGGTTGAAGAGGGTTAGGAAACTTCATAATGACCCATACACGTGATAACCTTGTACGTATATTTGTCGAAGCATTTGAACTTTGAAGTCCCGCACGGACCTTGTATCGAAAGGCAATGCAACTGACACTTGCTTATAGCTGAACGGTACGTATATCAAGATTGAAGGTGAGAAAGGCAGAAGATTGCAAGTACAGTATCCGACTAACGTCAGCACTAATACCTCGCGGACTTTGTACAGGTTGCCTCCAGCAAGCCTTGAAGGAACTCGGCCTCTGCCTGGAAGAATGAAGCTCTAAAAGGGTTTTTTAATGGAATCTCGTCGCACATTTAAGTGTCGACTTTACATGCTCGAGTTGTGGACACGAAGTAAGCAGAAGGATTGTAGGGAATTATCAACATTCTAGTAATTGTTTCAGCTGCGCTACATTCTCTGTCACTGTACATAGATGCACGCAATCTTGTCTACATTGTAATCGCATTGATCTGTGCTTCTCACCAAGCCTAGTAACCGTGACCGTGATATTGTCGTTTGCTCTCGATTAACAACAATGTCCTTCTTAAAACTTGAACGTTCCTGATACTTATCTTCCCGTTGGCTTAGTCACTGACATGATTTACGGGCTATGTAATCGACAACTGTATATTTTGTGGGTGCTGATGTCAAAGTTAGAATTTCCATGTCGCATGTACCTTTACGAAGTCAAGAAAATGATCAAAAATTACGTTTTACATCAAAAAATTTGAACACAGGAAGTCATGTTTTAGGTTTAAATGATAAAATATTGTCACAGGAAATGAGATTAAAAAATGGATAAAAGACTAGAATTTGCGATAATACTTGTATATACAGGTACTCATAGCACTTCTCGTACACTTTTAATAAAAGTTATGATAGATTTGTTAGTGGTGCAAGATACTGTATATAGTAAAGCTGGCTTTTTGTTTCAATGAGAATCGAAGATTGTAATATGTAATTTACAAAGATGGTCCTCATCCCCAACAATTGAAGGAATATAAGTACTGCGTTTTATTTTACCGGATGGAACCCTATGACCCACCATCGCCAAGATTATTATACGAGTTTTCAAATGTGCAACCTTCAATGTAATCTAATTTTAGCAAAAGTTAAATAATACGAGTTTTCAAATATGCAACTTTCAATATAGTTTAGTTTTAGCTAAAGTTTTAGCCAAAGTTAAATAATATGAGTCTTCAAATATGCAACTTTCAATATAAATTAGTTTTAACAAAAATTAAAAATTTTCAAGTAAATTTGGAGAGTTAATAATTATAGTAGCTCCTAGAAAGTACTAGGAGCTACTAGAAAGTACTTTCTAGCAATGTTGGATGAACCCAAGATATAATATATGTGATTCGCAATTCGCATGATTTATGTAACTTAATGATCTTCGAGAAATTCTCTCGACTAGGTTGTGTCTTGCATTTGACGGAATTATGGTTTGAATCATGCCCAAATCAATCGTAGAAGAGTCCAGGAGTTCGATCAACAAGGGCCGATTCCCATTCCGAGCTCTCGTTTACGACCGATTGAAATCTATCGTTGAACTCTTAAATGCAAAAACTCGCATGTGATGGGTGGATTGAAAGTCGTGGTTGCGGGTTCCATCAGATAAAATGAATTGTTGAGGGTCTTATCAAGTGTTTTATATTCTGGATGGTTTCCGTCAAGTAATTTTCTCCATATGACGATGAAAACATTAGGAGCACAAAATTGGCTAGTAGTATTTGATTCATACTTAACACAAATAGATGCACTATTAAATTGTTGGTGAAATAGTACTTGTAATAGATATCAGATATGCAAAACTTGAAATTCAAATTTTGTATGTGCTCACAAAGATGGAATACTTATAAGTACTTTGATTTTGGCCGGATTTATACATAACACAGATTGAATAGATGTAAACCAATATTTTTTGGATTATTAACACTAGAGGGAATGTTGATGTATACTTGTTGTACGGAGTTAAAAGTAGTCGGCATTATTTCCATCTGACCTGGTTGTATGACACATAAACACTATAAAATCTTCAGAATTGTATTAGTGTCATATGATCCAGATGTTTCAAGTTGGTCTCACTTATATTTTTCAGATTTATATCCACAAGATGCTCGCTTGATTTTTATTTCTCGTACACTTGTTCATGAGATTGGATGCACAAAATTCTTGAACTACAGTCTGGCCGGAGTTACGCAACGTCCTATATCCGCTCTTACCAGAGTCCAACATTTCACTTCAAATCTGCACCCAGACCACACCATAACCATCAGCAGCCACTCGAGCCCACCCATAGCATTACATGTGTCCACCCATGGAAAAATAATATCACCCAAAACCCCACCCATGCCCATGGGTCATGGGTGGGTTTGGGCATGGACACCCAATGTTGCGCTCTGACTCTTACCGTTCTAACAATATATTACCATATTACCATTCTTTTACAGTAGTAAAAGAACGCCATGGCGACGTTTCACAGGCATGAATTGTTTTCCTAGAATATCTGTACACTCAGAGATAGACATCAAACCACTAACCATGATACAAGGTATACTCCGTGATGATGTGATCATGCACAAGGAACTGCTTGGATCAAAACCATATCCGAAGCCATACACACACTGACACCCAGTAAGAATTCTACATTCGACAATTTTAACAGCTGATTTCATACAACGGCAAACACAAACATCCATGTACTGTAGTTCAAGAATTCAAACAAATGTTAAATTATCCAAAGTGGGCCGTGACATGAGGAGGGAATATGCAACTTCATGTGCAGTAGTGGTACATCTGCAAGACACCCTTATTCTCATAGAAAGGGCAGTAATCACCACAGTCGAGTGCAGTGCTACAGTTGTGACATCACTCACGCGTCCATGCTTCACTTCATCAGACAAATTCTCATGGAACGATGAAATTTGCAGCCTCAAGCTTGAAGCTCATGTAACGAACCCTGATACATCTGCAACTTGACCTTGTGCTCAAATTCGGCACGGCGGTTTATCAAAAAGTTGACTACGTTGAGCAAGCTGGTTTGTTTTAATTCTGTACCACGTCCATGCGAACCACGTCGGCGGCCAGCCACAACTCGCCTGCTAGGGTTAACTCTACATGGTTAGCCGACGGGGTAGAGGAGAAGGGTCAGGGTTAAGGTGGGAGCGAAATGACATCACATGGGATGAGATGAGATGAGACGTCGGAACGCTAGAATAATTTAGTCTTAAAAAAAATTAGGAAATTTATTGTTCCACTTATGTCAAGTATATTTCTCATGAAACCGATGAAAATTATAATTACAAGATTGATTGATAGGGTTAACCCCTAAAGTAAAGCGAAATAATCAATACCATACAAGATGGAATCGTCTTTCTGTCGAACTGACTTAATGTGAATGGGAAAAGCCCCAAGACCTAACTTATTTCGCGGACATCTACGTCAAAACGTCCATGAACAAGTGTCGAAGCATAACTGGAAGTTCACTGGGCAAATTGCCACGTACGCCGCCTGGCCTGCCACGTCCTATAGAAACGGTACCCGTGGTTCGAGCCACGGAGTCATGCAGTCGTGCTGCATGCAAGCGAGCGAGTCACGAAGATCTTCGAGGAGGAGTCGGGACGTGCAGAAATCGATGCATTTGTGGCTCGTGAAAATTTGTCGTCGCAAATGTAGATGAAGAATGAAATCGTACGCTTCGCTCGCCGCTGTGAGCCGAGAAGGGCAAATTTCACTAAGTTTAACTTTGATTTGTCGGTCAGCCTATTCATACTAAACACCGCCATTTCTTCAGCACACGGACGCATCTTAGATGAAGGAACAAACCGGCACTTCCGAACTCCGTGATTGCCCAACCTGTAAGACTTCTCGGGCGGTGATCGGTGATCGGTGATTTCTAAACAGAGATTATATTCAGGACGTTTGGAATGCCCCAATGGGTTGCAATGTGGCATGGAGACGACAAAAATTCCAAAAACCCTGCACTGTCTCTGAAACCGATACCGGAATTTATGGCTGCCACGATCGACATGACAAGTGCCTGACAAACCGAAATACAAGTTGCGTCGGTCGGACCGGGGCTCCAGCTTCGTTGTGATTCGATTGCTGGAGGCGTTGTGCCTTTTGTGTCGAGCCATAATGCTCGAGCAGTGTGATGGCCGACAGAAAGATGGAGAAGAAGCCGAGTCCACGGGCCTTTGACTGGGACGGTGTGTTCGTAAGAATACGCACAATCCAACGACCTTCTGCGCCGATTCTGCGCCACCGGCGTCGACGACGACGACGGCATGGGGTTGAATATATACCTCGCTACTCATATCTCTCCGCCGCTGCTATTTGTCAGCTTCACATGCTCTACAGTCTGTGAACAGACGCCGTTCGTGGATGGACTTTCGTCGTTCGAGTAAAGTTTGCGGTCGACTCCGGCGGTGGGAGAAAATCTCTGGACGCTCGTGGGGAGGTGGTGAAGCATTTGCTACGAGCTCTTCGGAGGAAATAAGAGCAAATGTGTTTCTAACCTCGGGCAGTTGATTCCGTCCTCTCAGGTTTCCTTTGATGCTTCAGTGAGAAGCTCTCGGGTCAAGGCCAGGGCAACAGACCTTTCAGCTCTTGCACCCGGAACAAACGGAATATTGAGGCGCAGAATGAAACACCTGGAGGAGCTCTGGGTGGAAAGGCAATTGAAGCTATTTCCGTTCGTCGTCTGCTCGTCTTAGCAACTCCTGGCCAATGCTCGCAGACATCTGGCGAGTGCACGTGGCACCATCTTCTCATCGCTCATGTTCTCGGAGAGTCTTAATGCTGAAAGTTTGAAGAAGCCCACAAATGGTAACAGAACCGATCCCGTTAGATAATTTGGACTTGAATCGCCCTTCATTCAGAATTTCTTTCCTACCTTTCCTACCTTCCTCCAATTCGATTCTAACCTTTGTAAGTAATTCGTTTAGGCTTTGAAGGTCCCACCACTCCTCTCGTCACAGCTTGTGGATATGGCTGATAGCCAACGGGAAGCCAAGAGGTCGAGAACTGCTGCTGGAAGCTGACCTGACCAGGTTTGAAGATTCGATCAGCCCTGAATGTTGTGAGTCCTCAGGGCCTCTCATCTCGATTCCGAGGATTCTCGTCATATCCACGCCACGGAAGAGATTCAAATGAACAAGAGCAGTGATCAGTCTCGATACTAAGTCCTGGCGGCTCGGCTCGGGAACTGAGGTCCCACCATCCGAGGCTCAACGTCCAAGTGTTGGCTCCTCCAGCCATCACGATCTTCAGAGCTCAGTACGGTGGGCACATACATAACAGCTTATTCTCAGACTTCTTCGCAGAAGACTTTCGTCTATGTAACAGAGAATGAAGAAAAGAGCTTAAAAATGAAACAGAAAATCTGGTCTTTGGGCATTTGAGTATTCTGTCTGTACCTGCAACAGACAGATTCCTCATGGAACCCATAGCTTTCTGTCTTTCGAAGTGCCTGGAACTCCACTTCAGTCATCGTCGTTCACCAAACTGCTCTTCCGAGAGCATCGATCAGCTACCAGTGAGTGAAGTTGTCTTCAGAAGGGGTTAGGTGTAAAGGGCAGACCATAGACGAGTGTCTTCACCTGAACTCTTCGCGTAGATATGCTGCTGCAGCATCAGTGAGAAGTCCAGACTTAAGTGATTATATTGGTTCCATCTCATTGTGCCAGACGTGTAAGTCCAGATAAGACCCAACGGACTGCTGATTCCCATCATATCCTTGATTCTGTCACAACTGACTTGCTGTTCGAGAAAAAATTTGCCCATCTAACCAGTTCACAAGTCGTGGCTTAATGCAAACCAGGTTTCGCCGTTCCGAAGCGTTAACGCTAGATAGATGGCCACAAATTGCCAAGATCCAGTTGAAGGACTTGCATCAGGACCCGGTAATCTCAGCTCTGGTAGTGTTGAACAATAATTTCTTCAAAATACGCATATCTTTCGGCCATGACAGAGGCAGAAACAGATATTATGGTGAAGGGCTCAGTGTCAAGGGCAGACCGCACAGATGAATGAAGTGAGTGCGAGCAAGTACTCTATCAACTCATGACCGTCTGATTGAGACGAAATTGTCGAAGTTTTAAAGGCTTACAGGTCTTCAGATCAATTTGATCATACTAAAATCAATGAACTTCACATTGGCTAAGATGTACCTCGAGCTCAATGAAGATAAATGATTCGGCATAAACCATCACCACTGGGATGTGCACCTTGTGTCGAATGTGAGTTGATTCTCAACACGCAACCGTCCACCGACGTTCTCAGAATTTATTGCTTTCCTATTAGCACATTAGCGAAGAGAATGAGATACGAGTTCTTGTTCAAACTAGGTAGGCTTATATGACATTTGGCTTCGACGACAACTCAACGCACCAAAGGACAAAATGTCCTGAGAAAGGTAGCCAGAGCATCCTGCTGAGGTGAACTCCTGTAGGCCCTTTTAGCTAGCGGTCCAGTTGCAGATCGTGCTTGTGAAGTATGTGTCTGCTTTGTGAGAAAAGACGAATTGTAAGCGGCAAAGACAATGAAAGGTCACAAACTGAGCGGACAAGCTGCCGAAGTGACATGATCACAACAAAGATAGTGACTGGTGTCGCGTGAATGAACAGCTTTAACTTTATTTTTAGTTCTTTACGATAGCATAAGCATACAAGAAGTGTTAGTGCACACATCGAGGCAAGTATGACGGAATTATAGAATCTCTCCATTTTGCTTACATTGGCACCGTCATCATTCAAAACCTCTTCATCCTCTTGCACCTCGATATCTTCTAAATACAGATCCTTCTGCTGCCGGTCTAGTGTGCCTGCATTTGTGGTTGCAGGAGTTAAGAATAAGAATTAAGTGTCTTTTACCGCAGAAGGCACCTGCTTCAGTTCTATCCATTTCGTCTCTTGTGTAACCTCCCTGCCACATTGTACTCCAGTGTCCAGTTTCACGAGCTTGTATTTCAGCCAGAATGAGTATATTTCAGTAGAGATGCCCGACTGCTGCATGCTTTTCAGCTGTTTTCCTCTTGTACGTGTCACTCCAACTCCACGTTCTAAGGTTGGAGTGTCTTTTTTGTAACCTCCCTTTTCGTATGTACTGATGGATGTGTGCTGTTTCGTGAGTGCCAACTTCGTACCAATATGCCTTCTGTCTTTGTTGTTTCTTATTCTCGATACCTTTCCAGAATTTAGAGTTTTCCTTCTCTTCCTCGCAGTGGCCCTTATTCGAGCTCATCGATGGCCATGTACTGTACTTCCTCCTCGATATTGTGCCGGGTTATGTTGACCGGTCTTACTGGACCTAGAATTGGAGACCACCGAAGCGCCTGAAGTCAAGGGGTCGCAATAACTGCCCCTATGTCACAGAGTAGTAACGGGCTGAACCTAACCACCCACCTCACTGGCCGTTATGTAATGCCAATGCCAGCTTTGACTCCATGCAACTGAACCCTTGGGTGCCATGAACGTCGAAGGCCCTGCTACAATGAGCGACAAGCCAAGCTGAAGCCGTGGGTAGAAAAGTGTCAGCTGAATTGTATCTTGTTGCCAACATGCAAACACAGAGGCGGAGGAAAACTGCTGGTTTGCGCTCGAGTGCATGCCGGGAGCTGGCTCTGTTCCCCGTGGGAACATGGCAGGAAGTGGTGAGCTGAATCTGTGCAAGATTTCAGAACTCTGAGTTGCAGTTACTCTAGACGACCTACGTTTGTGCTTTCCGAAACAAGTGCGCCGATGATCTGATCTGACCCAACCCGACCTAAGTTTCGTTGGCTGGCGCAATGGCCAGATCCCATCTCAGTTGACACCAGACTCACAGACTGTCCTTCACCGGATCACAGTGCAGTCGAGGCAATTTACCGTCCTCTCCACTCGTTCTGTTTGTGGAATCATGTAGACATTTACCGTCAGATCCAAAACCCTTGACTGTGTTTAATTTCCTGGCTATGAGGACAACAGTCCCAGGGCCACACTACGGGCTGAGACCGTCCTGGGTTCGAACAATCTTCTTCCAAAAACGACGACAATGTAGCGTCGCGTCGCTTAGATCTCTCCATTAAACGGGAGATGAGTCATCTCTGATTCCAAAGAAAGTACTTCGAGGTACAACTGGAAATGGAGAAAGGTACTGCGGTCAGTGAACACCGGAGAGACCCATATGTGATCCAAATATATGCAGACAGTGCTCTGCACGTGACGGTGGTGACAGAAGTCATCCCACAAAGAACCTTCACCGCCTAAGTTCATAGAAATACTCTACTATGTTACATTTGGATCTAGTCGGGGATCATGGGAAGTGTTGTTTGATCTCATCGTTCCTCGTGTGGGATCAGAACTGTACAGCTCAGCCCAGGTGTGCAGAAGCTAGACGAGAAGTGGCGAGAGGTTAGTTACCACTTGATTTTGAGTTTTTTCCCATCGATAGCTCCTTTTGCAGGCGGTGTTCACATTTATGGCAACTGGGTTGACCTGGATTGTATCCATGCACTGAATCATTGCGACTTTGGTGGTGAATACATTTGACTGTCTGCACACTTTATGAACATACAGAGATGTACCATAAGGTACATGAAGTGCTAGGTGTAGTCACCTGAGTTTTGTTGCTACAAACAATGAAATCGTCGTGACTCTATTCTCAACATCGTCCACACAATTTGAAGTGGAATGAATCTGCTGCTTTTTATCGTCATACACGTCCTCACCCATCCATCCATCCGTCCGTCCATATCCAGGCGTGAGAAAGCGAGAACGTACCACTTGAGTGTGAAGATATTGCCTTACAGAGTCTCTCCCTACTCATCCAAATTGTTGGTCCTAGCCACACTACACTCTCTCGCCATCGACTCTTGCTAGCACTCACTAGTCTGGCACGCATTTCGCATATTCTCTCGTCTTAGCCTTTACTCTCGTACGGTCAGCTCAGATAAGACCTCAGCTTAGATAGAACCTGTGATTAGTGTACATCTCGACCATTCATGACGGTTACTGTCCAGGAACAGGTGCTCTCTTCACCTGTTTCTCGTCTAGTAAAGCAGTTTTGACCGTGGGTAGCTGCCCCAGTGTCTGGAGTCAGCGTATATGTGCCGCGTATCTCGACCATTTTTGTCTTTCGGATCTCAGAGTTCCCTCTCGTTCACATGAGAGGTCTTTGTCCATATTTGTGGCTCAGTTTCTTCGAGGGTTTATGTTCGGAATGGGAGCTTGTAGGTGGTGGCGAACAAAATATCCATGCTGTGACTCTCATTCGCCAAAGAAGCAGCCAAAGGAGTGACACCAACCGAGATCATGCCGATGAGAAAGAATCAGCAGCAGAGCACGTCAGGTTATTGATAGCGCAATGCACAGCACGCCTTGCATCACAGTAGCCTCAGTTGCCAAGGTCCGGACTCCCTCAAAAGGCGCCAAACCATGCCCCACTGTTAAGAGTGACCATCTCCTCGAATTGTTCTCATTCGTCGCTCGATGACCTTCAAATATTCCTCACAAAGAACATCAGAGCCGCGAAAGCGGTCGAGGATGAACCGAAAAGTCACTCCCCCACCCCATCCCCACCCCCACCCCCATCTACACTGTGCTCATATCCGCATCCCTTTTTCATAAGCCATCGGGAAAATCTCCGGAGCCATATAAGACCTCCACCCCCGAGGACAGACAGATGATTACTGAGCAGCAAGAAGCAACATTGTTTATATCCCGACAACAAAAGAAACGTCGGCACCCAGCGGACGAAATTCCACGAGCTCGAGGCCCAGGAAAGGTGCCACGTCGAGCGCAGCACTCAAAAGCACCTTGAGCTTGAGCATAACTCAACGTCAGCTGGACTCAACACTGCTCTCTTGCACCCCCACCAAAATCGGCTATGGCCCCTCCATCGATGAGTGATGGTGTGGGGGCCGTAGTACAGTACCGTGGTACCGGATGTCAGACACAAGCTCTGATACCAGGAACTCAACTGACTGACATATGCAACAGCCCTACCTAGACCCCACACTGCCCACACACCCAGCCATAGACTGGGCAGACGAAGCAGCAGCAGTGCAGCAGATAGATGTTTTAGTAGTTGGAGAAGAGGCACTAGTGGTTGTAGTATGAGTACTAGACTACGTAGCCGCAGTAGCTTGGGACAATAGACAGCAGCTGGGAACAAGCCACAGATGGGATGAACGGATGGGGATGGGCTATGCCTGCCAGTCTGTAGATTCGATCTAAGGAACGAGAGGGAAGAAAAGAGAGCTTGACAGCAGCCCACTTTCCTTGTGAGCATTCCTTCCCGTCTCCTTCGTCTCGCTCTTTTAGGTGGTAAGCTTTGAGTGCCTCCTATCAATGGTGCCAGAAAATCCGATTCCGAGCTATCTCTCTGTCTTTCGATCTTTCCATCCTCAAGGAAAGAGGCCTCTGCAGAAAGTCAAGACCGAATGAATTCAGAGATGTGGTGAAAAGAACTCCAGAAAAGCATCCATCCCTCCTCCCACTGCTGCTGCTGCTGCTGCTGCTGCAAGCCCTCCGCCCCTTAGGGTCCTTCCTTCCTTCCTATCACCCTCCCTCCCTCCCTCCCGCCCCCCAATTGTTGTGAAGTTTCTCCCCCGCCACTTTACTTTACTCGCTCTGTCTGTCTGGTCTGCAAAGCTGTGGCCTGAAAACTTTGACCATATGGGCAACTTGGCATTTACGCACAATCCTGTGCTGTGCAGCGACCGCTGGCAGCCGCATGCATGTAGGCGACATCACCAGGCAAAGCTTGTGCCCGGCAGGATAGGGAAAGAAAGAGCTGTGCACTGATGATGCACGGGGAAAAGCACCCGGACGAGCGAGAGAGAGAGAGAGAGAAAGCAGCTCGCGGGAGGGATTCGGTCTCTCCTCGAATCCGTCTTCGGCCTGCTTTTCTACCATCGCTGTCGTTGTTCTGATTGTCGCCCTCCTTTTCGACGTAATCATGGATCCCTCGACAGGGGAATTCTTGGCTCTTGTGGATGTACGTTTGGCTCGCTTCTGCGGAGAGACGGAAGGGCGTCTGGGTGAGATCCAAGATTGTTGGCATTTGGCAGGTCCCCAGGCCTTGGGCTGCCTCGGCATCTCTCTGACTGTGCCTGATTCTCCAGGCCACATTCTGATGGTGACCCACCCGACAATCAGGCTCACGCAGCTGAACCGCAGATCTCAGTAAATCTCCATTTCCTGGAGGGTGAAAGCGAGAGCCATGAGAGGAATAAATCCATCTCGTACGAATTTGGAGCTAGCGGTTTGGCCCCACGCCGAGTTACTGCGGTTCGTTGAGCTGAAGAATCAGGGTAAATTTTACGTCTCCCAGCTGGGCTCTTGGCTGTGCTGCTTAGTCATCGCTTACAATGGCCGCTCAGAGCAAGCAGTAGTGGAGTTAGCTGCTCGCGACCGAGCATGCAACCACGTTTCTGGCTGTACTGGAGCAGTGTTGGGTCATTGGACAGGACCCTTTTTTATTACTCGAATAGCTCCATAAACGCCGCGCTGCTTCTTCTTCATGGCAGGTAGCTGGAGCAGCACTGTTCTAAACCTACGCCTTAAATACAAAATGTGCGATGCAAAAGCCGGTCTCTTCAATGCACCTCCTGTCGCAGGGAGCGAGCTATAGCCTTTCCTGCGACCTGTCGTATCACAGTTCACAGGAACCACGGTCTAAATTTGTTGCTCGCTCAAGATTCAGCCATACACGAACTTTCTCTTTCTCCGATACGTCTTCACACTGTGCTGAGCGTCTTCGGTAATCAGCGCAGCTTCAGCAGCCAGTGGCATGTTCTAAATTTATCATCGAGTTCTCCTCAAACGTCGGGGACGATTCACGATTCTGAACAAATGGCCATGTCTCTTTTTATAGATCCCACGCATAAGTGTGTCACCTCTGGGCGGACATAGCCCACCACCTTGTCGTCAGTTTTGCTGTAATGTGCCTTTTCTCAATCCGGACTAGATTTCCACCAAGCCAAAGAAGTTTCCACCAGGAAAACGTTATCCAGTCCACTCGAGATTCCAATGTCCCATGAAATATAACGATGTGCAAGCCTCGACGTCGTTATGGCATTGTTAACAGCGTTTTAGAGGATACGTGACAGAGAAGCCAAGCTCCTGTCGGATGGAAAGCGAAGCACGCAGTGAGCAGATTTTCTGGCTCTCATCCACATAGACCATATCCCTTTTGTCCCAAACTTTGCAGACAGGCTCGAGATCGAGATCGAGATCGAGAGAGGCAGTCCCTCGAAGCATCCTCTGCACAGCGCTGTAATAGCACCTTTCAAAGCCGGCTGCAGTGAATTTTGGAACTCGTTGTAATTCAGATGAGTTCCGAGCAGAAGAACATTGGTATGCATGTGATCCATGTGAATGGCGAGAGCTCAGCCATGACAAGGAAAGGCGTGTCCGGTCATAGAGACGAGAAGAGATGCGCCACGAATTGTTTCTCATCAAGGTCTTGCGGTCGATGAGCTTTCGCTCTCGGAACCTTCGCCTGCCACATCTTATCAAATCGAAGTAGGTCGATCATAATTCAGCATGGGCAAAGTACGAGCAATTGCGAGCAGTTCGATTCCACGTCCGGCGACATGTGTGGCCGAGACACGCTGGAGCGAGAACGTGCAGTCGAGAATGAGAGTCACTCCCAAACCATCACAAGTTTCCTACGGTGTGCTCGCAGCGCAGGTCATGACGAAGCACCATGCGGCTGCGTGGAACGTACGACTGCACTGCCATCCACTGCACCATCATGGGGCCATTCGATGGACAGACGAGAAATTTACCGCGTGCAGATTAAGGCTCGACATAGCCTCGACTCCCATCGGGGCGTCATCAGTCGTCTTCACTCGGATCAGAAGAGAACAGATGTCCGATTCGTGTGAACTCTGAGCCAGACCAACTCTCTCTCTCTCTCTCTCTCTCTCTCTCTCTCTCTCTCTCTCTCTCTCTCTCTCTCTCTCTCTCTCTCTCTCTTGCTTGCCTTCGGCCTCGACGACATTGCAACACGAGTGTTCTGGCGGACGTCTGAGCTCGTCGGTCGGCATTCGCTCTATGTGGCATCCCCATACACTCAGCGTGGTCCGCATCAGTCAAAATCCTGTGACATCGATGACTCACGGGACGAGCCTTTCTGATCGGCGGACCATTTCTCGATCGATCGGTAACGTGATCTTCTTTGACCTGACCTTCGAAAAGAAGCACTGACCACACTTGCGTCCCCGCCCTCTCTTTCCCTCATTACTAACCCCACGATAACGCAGCAGCCTTAGCAGCCTTAGCAGCAGCAGCAGCAGCAGAATTGCTCCTCGTGCATGGAACGAGGTCGATCGATGCGGGACGAACTTTGACGTGAAGGTGAAAGAATTCGCGAGCGCATCTGCCGAGAAAAAGATGCGCCGAAAGACGAGAGCGAGCTCCTCCTCGGCCACAGCAGCGCATGACTCTTCCATGCGTTGACCGGTCGTCGGGCCCATGGCCGGCGTCGATCGCATCTCGTCAGATTCCAGCTTCGGCGCTTAATCCCTCCGCTCCCGTCGTGACGGGAAATGTCAAGGGCCGACAGCGCCGCAGCTCGAGCACATGCGCATCGCGCGCATGATTCATGCACCAGCCCCGTCGCCGTCGCCCGTCGACCTCCAATCTTCCTCACTGTCTCCGTCTCTGAGACCCATGTTCATATCGGACCGCCTCAGCCGGTTCTCCAGCACGAGCTCTTGCGTCTTCGCGCGGCTACAGCGTGGAAGTTACCTCTCCGAGGCGGTTGCGGCCACGGGAGCTAGCAGGTAATGGAGGGAGGGAGGGAGGGAGGGAGGAGGCCTTCACGTACGTCGACCGTACCCGTAGTTTCGAGCTCGGCGATGGCGATGGCGATGATTGAGATGGTTGAGAGAGTTCGTGCTCCAGGACCTGACGACGAGTGCGATGGGAAGTGGATGGAAGGATGCGAGAGTGCGGCTGGGCTATGATGGTGTGCAAAACGTTTTCCTCTCGTGCGTACGGGACGAATGAGTGTTCACGTCGAGAGGTGAACGGGCAGGCGCAAATATATTCGATCCGGTGCGCTCGCTCGTGAATGAATGTGAATGCGAATGCCGAGCTACCAGGTGGAGCGGAGTGGACAGTCGTGGGACTGTTGAACGTGGGACGCATTAACTCTAGCATCAGTCGCGCCAGTCCACGGCGCTTATGCAGATGCCATAGCTCGCGAGCCGAGCTAATGTGTGCCATCTTCGCAGGTCGGGAGTTTCTAAATCGTCGGGAATTTTAGAGAATTTCAATGTGCCCCGCCCCCGAGTTCAGGGATCAGTCGGCAATCAAATCGGCTAATGCCTCAGGCAGCCGCCGATGTGTCCCAACTCTCTCTCTCTCTCTCTCTCTCTCTCTCTCGACTCTACGTAGAAGGTGTACTTCTACTCGCTGACACACCCTCACTCGGGTTCAGAGAATAAACCGTCTCCTGCTTCGTTCGGTCCTCGACTTGTTGCCAGAGGTATTCGGCATCGTCTCTCCCAATGGATGCGAGTAGACACCAGCGACGTGATTAGCCGGGCTTTTCGTCTACGTTGCAATTCCCGACATCAAACACAATACAGTTCTCCCCAGATAGCACCCGTCTCTCCCTCTCTCCCTCTCCCTCCCTCCCTCAAACTTCCGAGCGATCGGTCTGGGGCAGGTACATTCTAGCCGAAACGTGCTTCCGTTGCACCGCAGTGAGGAGCGCTCCGCATCCTTCTGTACATTCTATCACGTGCTGACATAACAGACTCCCCACCGGCTGTCGCCGAGGCACGATTTATCGAGGGCTAAGCAATCTCTGTGCTCAAAAACTATCTAAAATTCAAAGTGGCATAACAGCCCCCCATTCACCGAAGAAACGAGAAACGCGAAACACGTACAATGTGCGAAATGCAACACATGTACAGACTCCATCCGACAATCTAGCGAGCTTCGAGCTGGACTGGACAGTCATGTCTCGGGGCTCGATGGCAATCGAGAGCGGTGGAGAAATCCCACAAAGCAGCTGCAACGAGCGCAGAAAAGAGGGTCAAAAACCGCTGCCCCGTAAATCGACTGCTCACTCACACGCGGACCCCACGGTCAGAAAATCCTACACCCACCATCGAGAGAGGACGAGAGACAATGCATGCCATGAGACACAGGGAGTCGGAATGTGGCGTTGATAAGGAACCCAAACTTTGTTCACATCGTTAAGTGCAGACATTGATATGGTACATGGTTGTAAAGCTCGGGGTTCTGCGGAAGCGACCGGGCGCCGACTGTGGTTGCGTGGGGCAGGCCCGGTGCGCCGTCCGACGACCCTCGTTGCGGGTCGGAACGCTGTCTCTCTGTAGAGGGCTCCGGAGGGTTCACGACCCATAATATGACTGCCCGGCAAGTAAAGCTAATATACACGTTGGCCACCGGCGGCAGATTCCGGCCTAACTTTCTATCACAGCTCTTGAGACTGCCGCCGATGGGCCACGGGAGCGCTGTCCTTTACATTGGCGACCGGCTGACAGCTCCCGCATCTTTTAAAGGCTCCTATCGTACTACTTTAGATACTATACAATCTGTATCCGGCATAAGAAGAACCGGCTCTCGTACTGGCGATTCATCTCCGTAAGGGTAGTAGGGTTGCTGGACTCCGTCGTGGCCGTCCGCCCGCCGTCGTGCGCAAAAAGTCGGGAAACGGAAGCCGATAGAACAATTCACAAGAAAAGAACCCCGCCGGCGTCCGGGCGCCGTCGCAGGCTGTGCCGCCGTCGGGAAAAAAATGGCCGAGATCCGTATGAATGTAGAGTAGAGGAGAGTGGAAAGCTCTTCAGAAGGATTGATGGAGTGCAGCTGCAGCTGCTGCTGCTGGGGATGGAGTGGTGTCGATCGATTCGTGCTCAGAATGCGTAGAAGTCCAGCAGCTCCTCGAGCTTGGTGGTGCGAGCGGCGGGGTTGTCGGTGCCGATGAGCCACAGAAGGTGCTCGAAGAGCACGGGATCGCAGGCAATTGTGAGCCCGCCCTGGTGATTGAACCCGAACTCCTCCTCGGATCGCTTCAGGAGGCCCTTGAAGAGCTCGTGGCTCAGATACTTCGTGCTGATGACGAAGCGCTTTCTCTCCTGCCCCACGTACACGGCCAGGCACCCCTGCGGGATGTCCCCGGGCAGGGCGTCCATTCGTGACATCGATTTGGACCTGCTCACGGCGAAGGCGCTGAATTTTCTCGAGCTCTTGCTCGATTTCAGCTTATTCGTGCTCGAGTACTCCCCGTCCGAATGGGTCTCGGTGGGAGGGCTCTTCCTGGTCAGACTTTGCACCCTCCTCATAATCCTGTCAACGCCCTTCGGAATCACGGTCCCAGGCATTCTCTCGACTAAATTCTCACGACGCACTTTACCACCTGAAAAGATTGATCGAATCCGCCACCAAAGCCTACGGCGCTAGCGACCTCACTCTCGCCTCTCCAAAACTCCTTGCAAGGAGCCTACTCCACTCTCGCGTTCCGCACACACTCCGAACGCCTCAAAGAAAACACTCTCGAGCCAAGTCAAACTGTCGCTTCAATGCTCATCGCCCACAGCTTCTTCACGACCTCTTGGCGAACGAGCAAGCAAGCAACCTAGACGTGTGAACCGCAGCACTAGCTCCTCCGTCCTCCTCTTCTTCTCCTTGCCACTCTTCCTTCGCGAGACGAGAAGAGCGCAACACCGGATCGTGCACAACTCACAGAACCACACCTCGAGAAGAAACGGGACCTGACGAGCGAGGCTGGCTGGTGGACCGAGCCACTGACCACCCGAATGCAGGCAGCTAGCACCCCACCGCAGAGCTCACAAGTGCTGAGCCTCGAGAGGAGCCGAGAGTTTAAGAGAAGCCGAGCGCAGGATGAGGCCGAGCCGAGCGAGAGAAAAAGAGAGCACGACAAAGTACAGTGGGCCGAGCGCGAGCGACTAGTGCTGAACCCAAAATTCGGGACCCAATCGCCAGCCTCGACGCGAGCAGAGGGAGGAGAGGGAGGAAAGGGAGGAGAGGCGAGGCGAGACGAGACGAGAACAGAAGCGCAGAGAAGCAATGGAGCGGAGGAAGCGCTGAGCCAGGAGCAAACACGACAAATCAAGCAGTGCGGAGATGACTGATTTATATGAGATCTGGGGGGGTGGGAGCGATGGGCGGGCGGGCGAGCTCGAGCGCTAAGTAACTCGACTCGACTCCGTCACTGACCAGCCGCGATTCGATGCGGCTGTTACATGGCGCCGAGGATGTTATTTACAAAACGCCAACACACCCCGACCGCGGGTCACTCTTCTAACCCGAGTTAAACCTTCGTTTCACCTCCTCCTCCCTGGCCCGCCACCACCCCGCCAAGTACCCTCCCCGGCGGCCCCGCCCATCCCAGCCCACCGGGCCCCACCCCGCTCCCTTGTCCACGAGACGTTATCCATCGAGACCCATGGTCCCGGTAGATTTGTTCCCGGTGGGGCCCACCCTCTCGCGCTCCCGCACTCGGCTCAACGCAGGGATTGACCGTCCCTAACTGCCATTACCAGTGCGATGGGTTGGCCTTGGGTATGCAAGGCCCCCAATTTAGTGAGCCGTGAGGGAGGCGGAAAGCTTCCGGTCAAACGAGCGGCCCTTGCCAGCGAAGAAGAAGGAAGGACGGGCGGGTTCCGGTAAACCCGTAGGTCCGTGCTTCTCACCCGGCCCGCGGACGGGGACGGGGATGTCAAGAGGTGAGGATTTGGTTGGAGCCACAAGGGGATCATGGCTCTCTCGTACGTGCCGTATTGAATTGTGGCCCGAAGGCTCGGAGTGTGGTCGAATTTGTGTGAGCGGATGCCCGGGGAGCGCATGAGAAGCATTTGTGGACGTGGTACACACCTCACCCCGTTAGTGGAATGTCGTGTGATGTACACACACACGCACCGAGAGACTTCGGGTTGCTTTCTTTTGGTTGTTGCTTCGATGGTTGCGACTTGCTCGCGCATGTGAGCGCTCTTTCCTTCCTTCCTTACTATGTTGGATCCTTTCGTCGATTAATATTGGAGACGTTTTATTTTTCATTCGTGTGACCCAAGTGTGGCACCTACTTTCACGTACTTACTTCTCAAGTAGTATTGCTGATAGATTGAGAAGATCCCCACACTCTAATATTATCGTTCTCGGTGCTGTCGAAATCGGCTCTTAGTTGCGCATTGTACTCTCTCTCTCTCTCTTTATCTATCTCTCTATATCTCTTTCTCGCGTCTCGCATGATGTCTCAAATTGGCTCAACTTGTTGCTTAATATCTACCGGATCGATGCACTTGCGGCCTTCCTAAAGATCATTTTGTCAGCACGAAGCATTACTGACGATTCTTGTAAATCACAAACAATAAAAAAAATTTCAAAATTTTTTATTCCCTCCTTCATGTACATTGATCTTGATGTCATAAAATGTACACGCATCTGTGTTAATATTGATACGCTTGAGCTCATTCCCGTCAACTCTTCAAGCTTGCAATATTGAATGCTTTTGCACTCTAGTCATCTTTGCTTGTTGGAGATATTTGTTATGTGAAATTGATTTCTTTGACCGAAGCAATCTAGCATGCACTTTCTTTTGGGTTTAGCTTCCCTTGTGGTCTGCTTGATAAGGTGAAACTGGAACAATTACGTCATTGTCATATTGATGCAAGTGACTAAAGAAAATTTGTGTGACCGCAAAGTATCTGACTTTGTGTTTGCCATGTGCTAAAGTCTGATATTGCTCCTACTCTTCTCCACATGCATAAGCTTCCACTTGGACATTCTAAATGGATAATAATTGTTTTGAGATCCAAAATCACGTTTTACATAAAACATAGGCTTTTATGTGAATCCTCCTACCCTTGCACTGACATTTTGATAGTGCTCTAACAATATTCTCTTGGTCCCATTTAGAGGCAAACCCATGATGTCGTTTGAGAAAAGCATCATGTGGCAAAAGTAAATTTTAAGTAAGTGGCGTCCACTTGCACGTGAAAAAACACATCGTTATCTTTGCCCAATATTGTACATAATCTTGTTGATGATCAACTTGATTGATTATCTCCAACATAATATATTCTAGCTGAACATCAAAGTACTAGCGTAAGGTTTCTTTCAAGCCCTTAGTGAAATTGCGTTAAGGTTGTAAATTTGTCCACTATACTTTTACTTTAATCAGGCTCCGAGGTTATATTTCAAGTCTATATAATATGTTGAGATTTGATATCAGCATCTAATCTCACAATGTAGACCAAGTTGCACACTTAAATCTCCCATGGTATTTTATACTTGGTGAACCTCAAGGGACTCTTTTCTTAGCCAAAACCTGTTCATGGTGGTCTTGTAACCTCGTTTACACGAGAAGGTACTAAAGCTTTTCTTGCAATTTTGGCCTATACCGTATTAATGTGATCATGATAACTAAACCAACCTCTACCAATCTCAACTCCCCTCTACGAGGAGAAGGTCACGTCTGTATATGGATATGTAATGAATATGTGATCCTTCATTTACCTAGAAGGATATGTTCCAACAATTCTTTTCAATATTTTATTACCAGCGTAACAGGTACATGGAGGGCATCGGGACAAGCGCTTTATCGAGGTAACTTTGAGCTCGCTTTTGGAAAGTTTGTCCGCAGCCTGCATTTTTGGGAATCTTATCATCCTTAAGGGCGAATAGACCTCGAGTTTGAAGATATTTTCAACAGAGTGGACCTCAACAGAGTCCCAAGGAAATTCATAAAGTTGTAGTGTCATATAGTTATAGCATCGTCATCTTAGGGCTTATACATTCCACATTTCTGTTCGACGTAAGCTTTTTATGTTTAGGTTACTATATTCTTGGAAAATGAGGTTGTAGGAGCAAAGATAAAATGAAGTCCGTTCTCTTCATAAGCAAGTGGTGTACCTCTATCTTGTATTAATATCATTACAACATAGGTGGCAAGGTTTATTGCAACTTCCCAAATCATTGTAGCGGGAGTTGTGTCATTGGGTTGTTGGGTACTAAACCCAAGTAACCCACAACTGTTTTTTGGGTTCATCACATCTCCCCACAACACTTTCCACATAACTTTTTGAAGACAAAGCGGAAATCTTGGTCGTGTGCCTTGTATTTAAAAAAAAGGCTTCATAGTCCTGAAGCTATAAGAATGAAAGGGTCAGTCTTAGATATACCTGAAAACCAACTTCTTGCTTTATGAAATGACGTTATGAGGTTTACAACTTCTATCCATCATATAATCAAACATTACATTTTTTTTCCTCTAAAATTGTGTTCAGTAGTCAAGTAACAGATCGTTGATCACTTGAATTAAGGATATATTTTGACAAATTTTTAGTTGGTGTAAAGTTCTACTTTACATGTGTTAAACTCACAATTTATCACAAATATGATAAAACTTCTGTTATCTTTGTTTAAGATGACGAATTTCATTTTGGTATTTAAACTTTAAATAGCATTTTACAGAGTATATGACTTCTTCATGTATTATGATCAGTATACTAGAAAAACGTAACTCAGTGACTCCTTTATTGTAATGAAAATATAAAACTTCATGGTATATACGCATGAGATCTTCAGATCAAATTTTTTAAACTGTATAGTGTGCAACGAAAATACTTAATGTAGCTCCAAATCATGTCTTATTGTTTATTTAATGTTTACGATAGTCGAAGTTTGATAGGAAGTACGGTACTCGAAGTTCTTTTGGAGAGGGGGACCAACTAGTAAACAAAAAATGAATGGAAATTAGTGCCAAGCTCCATAGTGATGAATACTCAGAGGTTATAAAGGCTAGATAACAAAAAATTGCACTCATATTCTATCTAACATAATCAAAATATAGGCTCATCATCTACACTCAACGTGAACATAATATACATATATACCATTAATCTACATGATTACTTTTCTACAATGTAGTAATGATCTCTACAAAGAAGTAAAAACATAGAGAAAAAAAAATATTCTAACGCATTACAATAAATAATTAAAATATTATATGGGAAACTTTAAAATGTTTGTCAAAGTCTAGATACATATGAATCCAATACTAGACGAAAAAAAGTCAAACCCACATAACATCAGACTAGATGAAAAAATAGTTGACATTTGTTGACGTCCATGAACATAAAATTGTGGACCTCAATTCAAACTCGAAGCTGAAGAAAGTCAACATCCTTAGCTCCATATGATTTCCAGGCTAGATGTACCCCTAGTTGACATTTGTGGCTGTCCCCGGACTAAGGATTGCGCAGCCCAACTCAAAGGTCACTAATTAGCTCTCTAAAACAGTGATGACAATCCTTCTCATAAGCTCCCAGGTTATGATCTCGGTCACTGGTCTGGTACATGGCTCAGGTTGAAGCAACCAGAGGGTATGGTTTCTCGGAACTGCGACCGCTGCGCCCTGACTCGACTCAGGATGAAGTAACTACAGCCTGGGTATGGTTTCTCCGAAACTGTGACCGACTGCGCCTTGACTCGACTCAGGTTGCAGTACTGTAACTTGAGCCTGGGTATGGATTCTCCGAAACTGTGACCGACTGCGTCTTGACTCAACGCAGGTAGAAGTAACCAGAGCCTGGGCAGGGTGACTGCGACCGACTGCGACCGGAAGAAGGGAGCGGAGATGGCGATCTTTACATGAGCGGGAACTCGACAGAAGGGACTGGCGCAAGAGTGACGTGGCAGGACGAGGAGGAGGAGGAGAATGACATGTCCGCCGCTTTCTGTTAGCGGGGCGAGGGTGGGTCAAGTAACGCGTCCGTATACGGATCGTATACTCCGGATCAGCGCCATGGCGAAGAACGCAGGCAGTACCTTTCCGTCTGTCCGGTTGGTACGGTTCCGTCCACCTACCAGTACTCTCCCGTAGCACTGACAGAGCCGGCACGGGGCGCATGTGAACGGCGCCCCATTCGCTCCTCGCCCCTCGCCCCGCCGCCGACGAGCGCGCCGGGCAGGGCCAACCCGGGCAGGGAAGGCCGGGCAGATCGAGAAAAGGGGCCGCCGGGCGGGCGAGCCCCGCGCAGGCTCCGATGTCAGGGCAGGCACGACGAAGGCCAGTGCTGCTGCAGTGCAGCGATGGGCTCTGCCCTCGAAAGGCCCGTACCTGTTTCATGGGGCTCTCGGGCTCTCGGGCATGTTGATTGTTCTCTCGTGCTTCTGCTCCGACTCATCACCTGTGCCGAGAATCATACTGATTCTCGCCATTCTTCTGCCTGTCAGGGCGGTTCATTTTCGTGGTTCATCGCATCGTGTTTGCAGTTTCCTTGATTGTTTATTATGCCGTGATTTTATATCTTCGCTTCTGCTCAAAATATTCGGCACGATGAGCGCCTGCGTTGAAGAGTTGTTCGCTTCCACGTTGCCCGGGGCAATATAATTTCCGTTTCCATGGATGCAAAATGTCATTTGTAAGGGTCGTTCCCGTGGATCGATGAATGTTGGGCGTAAAAGGCTCAAAATTGATTTTTATTTGTTCTCATAAAGTGCTGATGGGTCTGAATGGTAAAACCGTTCGGAGGTAGTCGGGAACCGCGCATGTTCGAGTTCCCGTCTGGAGATGTTCTTATATGTGTCGGAGGAAACGGAAGCAACAATGTCGGGAAAGGCAAGAATGACTCGAGGCGACAAATCCGTCACGGAGTGTGCAGTTCTTTAATCGCGCCCGATGTGATGCTGGTGAGGTGATGACGGAAAGGGAAGCCAGGAAAAGGGTTTCAACGATATTAAAGAAAGGTTTCGGGCTGAGGAAAAATGTTCGTTCTCTCGTCGGCCGATGATGATGATAATGAAGGGTGCACTGGCAGCGCTTCGTATTAATGGTCGTCTCAAGGGACTACTACTATAGCTAACAATCAATCGAGCGAGCTACTTCCCGTGGGAAAGCGAGCCCAGCTTTTGGTAAATTATCATATCTGAAATTCTGGGGCCCTGTACCTCTGTACTTCTCCTGTACCACTTCTTCATCTACAGCACCAAGAAAATCATCATCACCAACAACGGCGTCGTCATCGTCTTCCATTCAGTTTGACTCCACGGCTTCAGAATTTATGAGTTTCCTAAGGGCAAGCACTGGGACTTCAGTCATCTCATTTAAGTGGCGACCTGGGTGCTGCCAGAGGGCAAAATGCATTTATCGACCATTGCTTGGTGCAAGCCAACTTGGCCTAATGACGTCGGTAACGATACTTTGACCTTTAATGTTTGTTTTGTTCGTGTTTTCTCCTTCCACATTGACCGAAATCTCCCTTCAACATCACGCCGACTCCTTGAGACTTTCCATGGACCTTCTTGTCATGAGTGTAATGTTTTTTTGCTCTATGCCGCGAGACCAATTGCAAATTAGAGTAAAGCCACCACTTGGGGTAGGTCAAGCCGAAGCTCGCAAATTGCTTGAATATTTGGTACTTTGGCTATCCACGTCAGGTCTTCTTTGACAACATGGATATCGAAATGACTGCCGTCTAAAGCTGATGCGAAGTTTGTAGTCATCAGTCAGCACCAAAAGCAGCACAACTTTTCGCTCCGTATGATTTAGTCTAGAGACTAGAAGGCTGAATGTAGTGTGCGTTTGAAGGGAATTTTAAGCATCGACATACTACCCATAGCGCTATGCGTCTTCACGTGCATTCAGTGGAAGAGCATCACATCACGTCCTTTTACCAACCCAAACACGGACCTCACTTCTGATTCACCACCTCCCTCGTCCTAACTAAATGGATCGAATCTTTGCATGAGGACTACGAATAAACTTAAGTCCCAACACTAGTGTTGGTTGTTCACGATTTGGGTAGCATATGGAGTTATGGGCACCTGCTTTCAGAAGTGCGTGGAATATTGTTTGACCTCATCGCCGAGTTAACTAATTTTATATTCAGTTTTTTAATAAGCATGTTCTTATCGTTACATAAAGTGTTATTCATCAGGTGATGATCATTCGTTAGGCTTTTTTCGGAGACTTGATAGATTAGATTCAAATGTTCAAGGTGATAAGATTAGTTCCAGCACCATGGTAGCCATTTGGGTTAATACCTGATTTACAAGTTTACTGTGTGCGTACAGGGTCGGGTGACATTGAAGAATAATGGATCCGAATAGTGAATAAGAAGGTCGTCGAAGATAGGGGAGCTCGGCTGTGACTTCATGCTCGCCTAAGGCTGGGTGCTCTTTTTGCTGGCTCCTTCGGCATGTGAGGTGGGTCTGTCCTTTTTGTCCACATCCGAGGCCTGAGAGGGCTCTCGTCGCTTACATTGTCCTCGCAGCATGCCATCCGAATTTCCAAGCCTTGTCTTCTTGCCGGAGAAGCCCAGCGCCGATGCAAGGCAGTGCCATCTGAAAATCTCTAACCACACGATGCTGCTGACCGTAGTGCTCTGCTAGGGTCAGGGCTGCCTCCATGGCTTCGATCGAGTTTTGATGCTCGAGAAACTAATACAATATTCACATGCCTGTCGCTTTCCTCCCGCAGAGGAAGGAGCAAGGCATTGAATAAAATCCACTGCCCGCAGATCCCAAAACCTTGGAAAAGAGAGACACCCTCATGCAGCCCGTCCGACCAGATAGAACATTTTCTGGAATCAAACCTCGGGGCTCACAGGATCACAGGCTCGCTCTTCCCAGCTTTCGGCCTTCGCATCGAACTCGCAGCACCAGATTCCAGGAAAAGTTCGTCGAGGCTTACATCAGCACTCGACGCTTGAGAACGACTACGCGACCCCTGATCACAAGGACAGGGCCCCGACGAGGAAACTCGTAGCACCGCTCACTCGAATCCACTAACTGTATCTAGTGTAGGCCACAACTGCTCGAAAGTCAAAGAAATTGCATTCCTGTGGACACACCCCGATTGCACGAGATTGCATGAGATTGATCTGACATTGTGGCAACTGCGTGCTTTGCATACTTTCTTCGCCTCGGAGCAATGTCGAGCGTTTTGCGAAAAGTTTCCTTCTCTCGATGTCCTTGGCTGTTCTCGTTATCTTAGTGTACATTAATAATCAGAGAAAAGAAAACCTCCTGGACGACACTTGCAGATCATGGATAGCACACGCTCGCCAAGTCTTTGCATATACACTAGGTACAAGCGGGGGCAGTGGCATGCGCGGTGAGATAGATTTTGTGGGTGGCGGTCGTATTTCATCACATGACGATATGAGTGCAAGCGAGCTTTTTGTTATCCTTTGGTATATCCATAATTCCTCGAATAAATTGCTTTTCGAATTAAATGTTTAAAATATCTTTGAAATTTCAGTTGGTGATTTTGGAAGGCTTCTAGTTCGTTCCAGGAATATATTATGCCGGTTCTCATACATTGCTTGATTAAATGCATGGAGTGATTTCCCTATTTGGACGCATCTGTCAACATTCTTCATGACGTTGCGAAATCATAGCAGTGATTTGAGGATGTGGTACCTGAAACAAGGATATGAATTATTTGTTTATGTCGAAGATCAATGTCCTTCAATTCAAAGTATTAAAATCCAAACCAAATATCATCTGATCGGCAGATCTTTTTTCTCCATGTTACATGATAAACAATACTTATCATGAAACGATAAGTATTGTTTATCATTTTTTCGACTTGGATTGGGAGGAAAGTAATCACTAGGAAGTGTGAAACACTTTTAGTTTTCTTGAAGTATTAAATTATTATGGAAAATATTTTTCTCACTGTCAGAGCATGTAGACAATCAAACTATAATATTTCAATGCAATTTGTAAGGCACGACAGAAGTTATCTTTAAGACAACAAATGTTAGTTACTGAAATCTTTACATGATTTCAGTAACTGACTTTTGGACATCAATTCTTACAATAAAGTTTGGACACAGAGACATATTGATATGAAGTTTAATTTCATTTACCACTCATCATAAAATTATTACGTCTACAATTTCTCATCATAGCATTTGAGACATACATGGTCAGTAATGGAGACCTATAGTCATGTTACAGTCTGGTAAAACAATCAGTCAAAACATGAAATATTTTGGAAATATTTTCCTCCTTTAACTTTCATCCAAAATATGCTATGAATATCTGACATCTGAATGTGTCATTATTATAAATGAATTCTAGTTCGTGTCGTGGAATTTCATTGATAGTTGTGGTCATTGTGTTCTTTGGATCCAGACTTACCGTGAACTTGTGCGCCTCGCCGTGCGGCACCGGCTGTACCCGGTTCTCGATGGGTTATCACTGACCTACTGCATCTGATCACCACTGATCACGTTACCATGGTAGCCAAGTTTGGGAGTGCTCGGCGCAATGTTATCTGCCTATGGCAGACACTAATTGTACACATTAATAATTCTGACTCTGCGCCATGACTAAACTTAGCCTTAAACCGATGATTGATTTCCGCTGCAAATGCTTCTCCGTCAGACATCGGACCAATTAACGACGCGTCCAAAGAACCGCACTCATCATAATACGTGATCATGAGCTACTTATTATAAAACCTCCCTAAGGAGACGCACCACGTAAGTTCCACTTTCTGACCCTACTGTCATGCCTTGACTTCGGCTCGAACCACTGGGTCTGGTCAGGAGTACTACAGTAGGCGATATGTCCGCTGCCGATTATAGATCACCAAAGCTCGGGTTACGGTTGAAGATAACTGTCGTGTTCAGTTCGTGGGTTAGTTTTCGAATCATGAAACATGGGTTAAACTAAAGAAGCGGCAGTTTAGGCACTCCACCAACCAATGTTCAGTCCATGGGTTAGTTTTCGAAACCTGGGTTAAACTAAAGAAGCGGCAATTTAGGCACGCCACCAACCAAAGCCCACGACCGTTACCTGGAAACACGCGATGTTGCTCCAAATTTGGAACCATTTGATGACCATTTGAGGCTAGAGGTAGCTAGAAGCAATAATACATGGGTGCACTTTCAGATCGTACATGTAAGTCCAGATATATAATATTGGGTAGCTTCTTTCACATAATGTTTATTCAGAGCTATTAAGATTGAGGTGTTGCACTATAAGAAATTGATGGGGATGGATGATACATCTCTATTTGTTACTCTAATCTTTATATGTTATCCTAACGTGAAAATACTTGTCAAAATAGTTTGAATGTTATAGGCTTTTTTTGTTTTTTGTTTTGACTTTGTTGGATGTAACTCCTTGCACATTTTTGGTTTCATGCATGATTTTTTCAATACTTTTGGTTTATTATTCTATAATATTATACCTTTGTAAATTATACAAACTTTTCAAAATACTGCATCTTTTAGCATATACATGTTGGACCAAATATGCAACATTTTCACAACAATAAGCAGATTAGTACTTACAATAATTCAGCCATTTGAGAAGAAAAACTTACTTGATAGTAACTTTTCGGAACTCAAAATACTTGTTGAAGCCCAACATGATTCATTTTGGTAGCGGTTAGTTATACTTCACTTAGGGCTAATTAGAACTCAATCTACTATACTCAATATTCTTATTGGTCGATACAGTTTAGTAATAGTAGGGTAGTAGAGATAGAGTAGCAACTATAGGGTGTTCAACCAATAGTGTAAGACCGTAGCCCTCACCCTATGTTAAGGGCTAATTAGCCCTAAGTGAGGGATTACTAGCCTCACCCTTCATTTTATCAGAGATCTCCACAACGGCCCTAGAGTCCACCATCACCCATGTTTCAATATTTAGGTCTATGTCTAAGAGTTTGCTTCAATACATACAAAAAATTTAGCAATTTACAAACCAGTTTATTTTGAACTTTCTTCTCAAAGTCAAGTGATTGTCTCATGTAAATTCATTAGCGACATATCTTATATGCACAAGATTCTAAAATAATCATAATCCATATTTTTTTTTTATAAAATAATGATATGATGTATAAATATAATAAGTCTACAGATTATTGATCTGATTTTCAAAACTAACACACTATAATTATATTTAGTTAGTTAGTACTAGAACAGAGTTTATTCAAGATAAAGATTAAATTGATTTATAATGAATTATTAATAATTATCATGTTGATATTTTGTGTCTTTAGTAGATAAAGACTAAGTGTGTTAATTAATAACATACAAACAATTGGAAACTTGTTAGAATAAGATAATATTTTAATGCATTAGTTGAGATTAACATGTTAAAATTTCTAATGCTTGTTGGTTATAATTGACATGTCATCAATCCACTATGATATTAATGTATTGAAACATTGTTACAAATATTTCTACAGTAAAAGTGAAATCATTGTAGATATCTTTCATATCCAAAATTTGTATTTTATCTTTGAATGATTTTTTGTCTTCATTCCTGACAATCGTCACAACTAATTGATATGTATCAAACAAACCGATTGTTGAAATATCATTGTCACCTATAAATTTAGAGAATTATTTATATGATAACTATAAAATATATATTTTATAAATCAAATACATATACATATTAAATAATCTTAAATGTTATTAACTAAAGATAGTTATAGCAAAAAATATACATGAACAATTTTTATGTTTAATAAATAAATATTTGAATGTATTAATCAAGTCCAATATATCAACAATTTGTGTTTTTTAGTGATATAACTCATATCAAAGATTCAAAATAATTGTTATGTATGAGATTATGTAAATTTCTTTTCTTGTTTTTTTATAAAATACATGTAAAAAAGTTAAATAAAAATCATCTTTGAAGGATATTATATCTGATATCCTAATGTCAAATGAAACTATGATAATATATATGAAGATTATAAGAAATATAACGAAGAAAACTACCAATACCAAAGGTAAATGGACTACGATTTATCTATGTGCGGGTGAATCTCGCTGCCTCAATTCATGCGGAAGTCTAGTTTAGAGCCGTGTTGACCCGTACACCGTTTCTAGACGCGAGATCGGATCTTCAATACAGCGAGGTCCAACGGTACTTAGACTGCCGTGTAAGAGCACTAGATACAACTCGTACTCGGACCCGTCTACTCGATCGCAATTTTGCGAATCTCCAGCGTGAATATGAGCCAGGGGACGCGATTATACGTACACATGAACACTTGTGCATCTTCAAACTGCGTGGTTGAGGTTCGTGGTGGTGGAAGCATCCACAGCAGCAGCAGCTCAGCTCCGTGTGCCCCCGGACTTACTAATCTCGTTGCACACAGGGCTTGCTTTGGATGCGAGGTTAACGAGTTGGTTATCGTGCTTGCTTGGAGGGTGGGCCGAGGGTTGTCGGAACGAGAGGGAGAGAGAGGTGTCCTAGATGCTAGGAGTGAGTCAGACTCAATGAGTTTCGTTTCGATCTCGGAAGTTGAAATCACCAGGCGTTGGATTCGCGGTTGTTGCCATTAATAACCAGAGTTTTCATGAGGTATGTACTCATTAAATGCTCCACTGATCCACATTTCCAACCGAATGTTCCGAGTGAACTGGTGGGGTTAAAACTTGGACTTTCTCGGTGGCCTGCCAGCAATGAGTCTGATGTTTTGCGCAAGCTACATCTTTCACAGGACAAAGTAGAATTGCAAAAGGATGGAAAAGACACTCATTGGCGTCTAACAAGGATGAACTCAACTTGGAAGTTTTCACTCTAACACTTAAGTTCAAGAATTAGAATTTAGATTATTTTTTTAAAATACCCATTCTTTTCTAGTTTGATTATATCCTGATTCAACATAGTATAAACTATTCCATGTCACCAAAAACCGTTTATACTATGTTGAATCAGTATATAATCAAACTAGAAAAGAATGGGTATTTTTGGTGACATGGAATAATCTCATGACAATTGTTGAGTATCGTTTGTAAAAGAGTAAATTATTTTTGTGATGATCTGGTGTTGATACGTGGAAAACAGAGCTGTCAACAATTCAGACTTCAGAGAACTTGCAACGGTTTTGTACAGATGATGATGGTCGCAAACGAGCAGTGATTGCTTCATGGTGGATTCTTGCACCTGAACCGCGATTGAAGCCAAGCTAGATTTTCCTATGAATCACTCAATGTGATTTGACATTGATCACCGTTGCATCACTGTTATTTTTCAACTAAGAAAAGAATAACACAAAAGATGTGAGCACCTCTTCAAGTTTCAAGAAGAAAATATCAAAAATAAAAATGGAAAATAATTCCAATATTATCACAAAAGAAAATGTATACATCTATAAATAATATAGCCAGATAATGAAAAAGATTATCATCTTTTACTTTGATTACGTCCAATGTTACGTATGATAATCATCTGCTGTTATTATCTTTAAATTATTTGATATATATTGACAAAAATTGATTTACATGACAAATTCATACTCGTAATCATATGATTATTATCAGCTATTATTATATTCAAATCAAATAAATAAATTGACTAAATTACTATACATAATAAGTTCATACTCGTAATCATACCTGTGCTCTTTTTTACTCGAGAGAAATTCTTGAGCATCACCTCCTGTGGTAGGAGGGATCGCCCGTCCAGAGCTTTTAACTGCTCTCTGTGTCTTTCACCTCAAGCTGTTGTCTAACTTCCGGCAATGCAAGATTGCATAGCGGCTGTGGAAGAGATGGCTCCCTCCTTTCCACAGGCTCAAGATCAGTTACTGGTTCTAAAACAACAGCATACCAAATACGAGCAGCTCTCCTCTTTCCAGATCCTCATGACTCTTTTCTGATAATGCAAGAAAGCCAAATGTGGGCAGCTCTCCTCTTCCCAGATCCTCAAAACAACTCCCTGTAGGTGGAGAACACGCACACCAACCTCGAATATATTTCGATGTCGCGGTTTGTGGCCGATCCTGGCGACATGTGTCTGGTCCATTGGGAACGATGGTGCTGCGACCTTGGGCTTCCCAGCCGAGAAACCTCTCTACTCGTCTCTCTGATGTCCCATGATACGTACGTCGTCGACGAAGCCCCCATTCCCCCGAGCTGTAGCCGAGAGGCCGAGAGGCTCGGAGGGAGAGTGCGTGCGGCCCAGCTATTTCGAGGAGCACTCTTCCGACAAGGTCGATGATGGCTCGGGGGACAAAGACGCACGAGGGGAGGTTCCGCCGGATGGTGACTGCGTATGACTGCAGTCTCATCGACAGCCTCAGATCCGACTCCTTGTGCTGCTCATCCACAACCTACGGCTGCCTCCAACTGTCGTCGCCATCATCGGCGATGAGAACTGGCCTCAAGCAAGACGATTCTCCGCGCGGAGTTGTCGATCCGCACGATTCCCTTCATCCTCTTCTTCTGGTGAGTCTGGGCATCGGAGGATACATCGAATCGAATCTAGTGAACACCCGCGTGCGAATTATGCAGCCACGAAACAAGTTGTGGATCCATGTTGCTGGCGTATCGGAGATGCGTGCAATCAGATGAATACACATTCTGCCGTGAGACGGAACAAAGGTCCTTAGGGTACGATCTTTCCAGGAGCAGCACCAGTTCCAGCTCTCGCCCAATCAGAATTCGATGAACTGGCGTTTCTGGTGGTCGAGTACGACATGCAGTCGGCGAGGTCCAACGACCCTTTCTCATTTGCAGGTGGAGTTTTTGTGAGGGAGAACGGTCGACCATCAGGTAGGTTCGTTCGAGGGAAGAAAGGAGTTTTTGGAGAGATGTGAACGCGCGGAGAATGAATGAGCCCTTGCACTCGAGTCTGAAGTTCACTGTGTAAAGAGCGAGAGGGAAGGACTTTCTCGAGCACTGGAAGGGCACATGTGGCTTGGGGTCATACAGATACTGCCAAATTCAACCCATGGGGCATCGAGTCACATGAGAGTACTGAGACCGAGCAGAAGCAAATGAGTGGAAATGATATATTAATACACAGACATCTAAAATAGTGATCTCTAACTACAGCTTCACCAACCCATCGGTCCGTTCGTTTCTCGGGCACCGACTGTGGTGGTCACAATCTACGAGGGCCAGGCTTCCATACAGTACAGCGGTAGATTGAAAATGGAAACCAAGGTATCGACGAATACGCGCTTGGGTAATATGGCGAAGGAATTAGTCCGTCTCGGAAATAGAGATGGCCGGGCCAGTTCGCATGCACGCCTCATGCTTAGAACATTGCTATCACAGTTTGCTCTCGTTGGGTCATCAGATCTCAGCTTGAATCCTCAGCACTAAACCCAAAGCAGTCCTCACTCCGATTCAGACCATGATCAACAAAATTTCCACTCTCCTGGTTCTCCCCAATACTCATTATAAGAATGACAGCGTCAATCATCCGGAAAATATTTACATTCGTCCAGTTCATGCCTCTCCCCATCCATGGCTGGCTAGCTGCTCCTGTCTGCTGGCCTGCCTTTCTGTCAAGACTATCAGATAGATACTATGCTGTACAGGTTTACTACTGTAGGTGTCTACAGCATCCACGGATGAAGCCAGCATTTGTGAAAGTGCACACCCTCCAGCAGCAAAACAAGTGACATATCATATGGTGGAAGATGCACCATTGTGTAACGATAAGAGTAGGCACGCGGGCATCTTCCGCCGAGCGAAAGATCCTAGGTCAAGTACTAGCTGACCGAACGTGGCTCGTAATCATTGGTAATCGTCCACCCCGTAGGGCGGAACCATTAACTCTGTAAATTTGTTGTGGTCTCCACAACCATTTTCCCAATCAAAATGGGATCTCCAGTCAAAATTTGCCGTTTTACATCACAGAACTCTCAGAAGACGAGAACTGACCGACACTACAGACCTTCACCTTCCTTTTTGAAATGATCTCTTCCTTTCAATACTCCGATCCAACTCAATGACCGTGCCTCCTCAAGAATAATTCTAATTCTAAGTATTTCGTACACACTAAAGGAAACACTAATGTGTTTCCGTGCCGTAAACAACTTGTAAACTACATCCTTACAATAAAATTGGACCAGCGCCCTGGTATGATTTCCCTTTGCAAATTGTAATCGACCAACAGTGGTAACATGATCCACTACTTGGTGTGTGCGGTAGAAGCTGTTAGATCTACTAACATCTACACGTAAGAATGGAATAAATGAGCTGGGAAAATGCGCACTAACATACAAACTAGATTGAAGTCAACCTCTAGATTTACAATATTATGAACCTGTTTGAGATTTTTTCTTTCTCTGAATCTTGCCCTTTGACATTGTCTTCAACTCGTCTTGTGCATTCTCAACGTTCATTTTCTCCTGTACAGCACCAAAAATGCGCATCATTTTTAAAGTAAGAAGCCACACAAGTTATTATCACTGCTTGTTTCTTGTGTATTATTAAAAGAGGTCTGTAATTACATTTGGGTCCAGCAAAAGGTACGTAGATTGCCAGTCTAGTCGACTGTGAAGGATCCTTCTTCTGAAGAAGACATTTCGCTCTTTCGTTCTAGTTTACCCCAATGCGGCTATCGTATTCTAATGACATAGAACCAGTCGGCCAAATACACAAACTACCCACCTTTCTGCCCCCAACAGCCCTTGCCAGCTCTGCGGACATGTCTCCCTTTATTTGCTTACTCTTCTCTTTCCACTCCTTTTCTCTGCAAACCGTCACAACAACCATAGTAAGAACAGATCCGGTAGGTCAAAGACTAGCATTAAATACATAGGCCGGCTTATTTATATCTATATTAGTGAAAGACATCCATGACTGTTTCAGGGAATAACACCGCAGCCTCACTTCGTGTGTGACCCCGCTAAGACTGGACGACAAATGCATTTCAAAGTGACCTACACCGGAAGTCTTCACTCATTAGACACTATTCAGTGTATCCCCCGAAGACCTAGCATCTTTCATATCCTAGATTTGTTGCATGTCACAGAACCGGCGAGCTCAACAAAACTTTCCGACTTCTTATGTGTATTCTGAGAACACCGGCGAGATTCATCAGAACTCTGGAGACATTCACCGAAATTCTTGCAGTGAGAAGTCAAACAATGGCTGTCTTCAAGGAATCAGGGTGTGATATCTTACTTGCGAATCTTCAAAATTGCAGCAAACTTCTTTTTGGCCTCTTCAGCAGCAAGCGTTGCGTCATCCAGCCGGCAAATATCAAATGCTGCAATCGACCGCAAATTCTTAGCCTGCAGCAATCGTTTTACCGAAAAGGAGACTCTCAGTAAACTGATTTTCTCGTTCAGGTAGTCGAAAACAACCAGATACAAAGATATTACAACCTGGAACACAAAATGAACAGGAAGAGATACAACTATGATTAATTAAAGAAGACCGGCACGGAAAAATGAAAGGATTCCAGTTCAGTACCAATTCTTCTGGTTGAAGTAGATCCAAGCAGTTCTCCTCCCACGCACACATCAAATCATAGCAAAGCTGCGGTTGTAAAGCATATTTTTGTACTAACTTCGGGTATTTCTCAACCATCCTTCCTAGCTCACCTTCATCTGCAAGCATTTTGTACCCGTGTCATGAAACAGGCTTGAAGCTGAAGAAATCTTTCAGCAACGGGTCATTTGTTTGGACTGCTTCTTTTGCATCACAAAAAACAAACAAGCAACAAATCTAGAAACTCTTCCAGCACGAACTGCGGATGTTTTCTCGTTGTGGAACTCACCTTCCTCAAATGCTTCAAGGAAGTTCGATTTTGCAAGATCTCTATTTTCCACTGTGATATCAGCTCCTTCCAGCACTAAACTAACACCCATAGCTAGAGGAACCATTCTGTCCAAAACATTGCAAATTCGCCAGGTCAGCTCATAAAGTAGATCACTACGGTTTCAAGAGATACATGCAGGGTGCTACATTCGAAGGTACAGACACATGGACGATGCAGTCAAGGTGACAACGACTTACTTTCCTTCTTCGGATTTCACCATTGTGGCTCCTCCGGTGGTATCTGTATTAAAGAGAAAGAGGGATTCAGTTTCCAGATTTTGCTTGTAGGTAGGATGACCTCTAGGGTACTAGAAAACCTAGGGCACTGCTCTTCGAATAGAAAATAGTTATTTTACTACAGCATTTTTGTACTTCAACAACAATCTTGTAGCCGTGGTAAAGTTCTAAGTCAAACGGATTGAGGATAACATCTTGATTAAGCACACTTACCAGCAGCTGCTGTAGGAAGTGTAGGTGAGGGAGTTGGCTGTGCTGGCTGTACTGGTTTAGCAGACGGAGCAATGGCCGGAGGGGCACCATTACTTAGTAGGCCTTTGGGAGGATGGGGAGGAGGAGGAGGACCTCGACTTAGTCCTCCAGGAGGAGGGGGTGGTGGAGGTGGTGGTCTACCACCTACACCTGGAGGAGGAGGAGGTGGTGGTGGTCGTGGTGGACCACGACTAAGTCCACCTGGAGGAGGTGGTGGGGGCGGAGGGCCTCGACTAACTCCACCAGGAGGTGGAGGTGGAGGGGGTGGAGGCGCGGGAACACCAGCTCGACCCGGAGGTGGAGGAGGTGGAGGAGGTGCAAAAGCTGGGGGTGGTGGAGTAGCCGGCGGAGCTGGAGGGTGTCCAGACGCATTGGAAGCTACTGGAGGAGGAGGAGGAGGGATCATTGAAGCATTGGCATACGGTAGAGAAGTGGGAAGTGCCATTGGTAAAGGCATACTGGGCTGTGTAGTTGAAGCAGTATATGCAGCTTGCATTGCAATAGGAGGTAATGCAGGGCCTCCAGAATATGAAAAAGAAGAATCTACAAACGGCATAGAAGTGTAGGCACTCATTGCCATATCATGTATCATAGGAGGCTGGCTCCTCATATCTTGAGGAGCCATTTGATAAATTACAGGAGGCATGCCTAATGACGATGGTAAAGAAGACGGCAGGCCCAAAGGAGATGGAAACTGAGGTGCTTGACTTAAAATTTGAGTTTGACCGGGAGACATCATAGGTGGTGGGGCTTGATAAATGACCTGTGGTTGGGTACCCCCCATACTGCCTGGAGGTAGCTGGTATACTATCTGAGGCTGCTGTTGCATCACAAAATTGTGCTGATCTCCAATGTCCATCCCAGAGGCCCGAAGCAGCTGCTCTGGAGTTTGATTCCCTTGCACGTAGATCACGTTTAAGTCCTTGTCTGACCCGTTCTTGGAGAGCGGTGGAGCTTGACCCCCGGACATGTACACAATCTGCACGGTCGGCATCCCCTTTTCTGAGTCCGAATGAAAGGATCCGCCATTCATGTCCGCAGTTGGAAACTGAGATTTTGCTGGTATGTGCTTCAACGCAATAGAAGTAACCTTGGGTGTTCCCATCGACTCAAAGAATCTTGTCGCAAACAGCTCCCTGCCTTCCATTTCGAGGAGCTCCTTGAAAGCGCGCGCTTCAACCTCAGGTTCCCGATAGTGGTAGCCTCTCCCAGACTCATTTCTGTTGCGCTGGAAGAAAACTTGGAAGTCAACCATCACACTCCCCGCTCGCTTACGCAAAATGTGCACATCTCTTGGCTCGACATGAGCCATGGCTGCGACGCTTCTTCTGAATACCGCTTCGGCCTCGTCATTAAAATCCGCAAGTTTTGCTTTGGGGAAAGTCACCGAGGCATCCACAACAGTGATTGGGCCTGTTTGCTCTAACTCAGCCACAGTTGTGCCTTCGGGAGTATCAAGGGTCCACCAGCTACAAGGAAACCTATGCTGCAGAAAGTGCTTCAGTGTCTTGGAATCGATGATCTCATCTCGTATGTTGCCCAACGGTATATTCCAAGCTCCGTAGCCTTTAGCATTTTCAGGAATCAACTTGTCCAACAACCTCGAAACCTCTGGTCCCTTTCTTTTGTCAGCACACATAATGGCCAAACACTCAGCTGCCCGCTGACGCACAACAACGGAGTCATCGAGATCCAGAACAATGTCAGCAACCTTTGACACAAATCCTAGTTTGAGACCAATCTCCACGGTAGAACTACTAAGGCGCATCAACCGTAGCAAGAGCATGAGACTACATAATCTCGGATCTGTTCCTGCGTTGCCTGCCTCAGCCTGCGGAACCTTCAACTCTAGAAACGTAGCTAATGTGTATATCAACTCAGAGGAGCTCATACAATCCGCAATATCAGGATGGTTGGCAGTGCAATGAAACAGGAGCATGGCAGCTTGCGAAAGAGCCCTTCGTTCTGTGCCACTGCCTCCGCTCACAAAATCATAAACTGGAAAGAATATATCAATATTGGAATGCCCTGATAGGAGTGCTGGGCGACCCTTGAAGAGCAGCAGCAAGGCCAGTAGCAGGCGTCTTCGATCATCGAAGTTGAATTGATCAGCATTTATTCCGTCGGAGGGAGCTCCTATGACCACCGCCTTTCGAATCTCGCGTGAGAACCTCTCCTCGAGAACGCCTCCGAAATCATACTCAGGGTTTCTCAGAAATTGGTCCACGAAAAATCCACCCAGGTACATTTCCAGAGCATAGTCATCTCCTTCGTCCTCTCTGAACAATGGCCTCGTCTCGTTGTCTGAAATTGTTACCAAAATCCACCGCAAGAACACAGGTCGTCCACGAACCAGAGACCACGAAGGGAAATCTGCTACACCTTTTGCAATCACTGTATCCTGAACCTTTGCAGCTTCCTTCAACAGGATTCCTTTTACTCTGAGCCGGGTTTCTTCGTCCCACACAAGTCTAGGTGACAGGTATGATCCATCAAACATCTTACAAGCATCATGCGGATCCCGAGCAAGAGTCGATAGCAGGTCCACAGGCAACAGAAGGAGAAGCGTTCGAATGACAAGAGGTTCCGATCTGTTATCACTGGCATTGGGTTCGATAACATTGATCAGCTCATACATGTCCGTCGCTTCACCTATTCCTTCGTCGTAATGGGAGTGGCCATTGGCTGCCCCGTTTGCCATCAACTTCCGTTGCGAGATATCCTTCAACAACTTCGAGCGACGGCTGACTCCACTTCCAGCTAGCAAAAGCTGACCAAGGGTCTGGGCAGCCAGAATTCTAGCTTCAGAAGAAACACTTGCGACCTTTACTTCTGTAACTTTCGTCTCCGAATCTTCGTCGCCTTTCTTCTCCCCATCTTCAACAGGTTTCTTCAGTTGGGGCAACTCTGCTTTACAGAAGAGGGCTAACAGAGGCAAGAGCACTCCGCTACTGGCGAAGTGATTCGTCGCAGCCACGGTAGCAGGAATCCTTTCGCTAAGCACCCGTAGAGCATCCAGTGTTTCTATGAGGATCTCCTCGGCGTCTTTAGAACCTGTGGCAGCTTCCCAAAGTTGGACGGTAAGACCCTTCATCAGCTCAGATTGCAACACGGCATCCCTTCCTGCATTGTTCTCCGCAAGAACTTTAACCAATAAAGCAACCTCAAGACGTGCACTGGCAAGACTCTTTCCTCCGACTAAGATCTTGGCAAATAGTGATGGCTTCACAAATTCCAAAAGCTCTTCCCTCTCACTCTTGAGAGCAAACTTCAAGCATTCGCGAAGAGCGCTCGACACTGTCAGGTACTCAGCGACCTTTTCTTCGTCTACTGATTCTTCCTCTTGCTGCAAAACAACGTTTTGATGTTCGGTCAAATAGTCGAGCAGGGCGTCCAGAAACGCATGTCCAGCTGGAAGACTGGAGGTACCCCACTGGCCAGCAGCTAGGGACTTCACGAATAGTCCGCCTATTACGAGTTCTCCCTTCAAAGCTTCATACTGGAACTCTTGCAACCAGTCAAGTTCGTCAATAGGAGGTGCAGTTCCAGAAGCAAGCATAGAATTGTACTCCTGAAGGCGCTCGTCCAGACGAGTTCGAAGTTCTGTCCGAACGTCATCGGTCCACATGGCCAAAGGCTCCACGATATCAGTAGATACAAGACTCAAAAACTTTTCTACTCCCTCATCTTGATCCAATGACGACAATAGTGGTACAGGAATCAGTTTGGAGATTATCCCCCTTCCTAACTCCTGTCTAGGGCTCGGACTAGGTCCTCCAGCTTGGCCGAGCATCCGAATAAGAGAACCTAAGACATCTGCGGCTGAGTACAAAAGAGCAGACTTTGAATCTTGAGCCTTCACAGCAGCATCTACTGGCGGAACTGCGAGTAGTAGCAGAGGAAGATAAAGGGCCTGCACAAAGAGCGATAACAAAACATATTCCTTCAGCCTGTGGTTGATGTGTTGTGCTAGTGACAGTGCTCTAATCTTAAGATTGTGAATTCTCCTTCACTTCACAACTGAAGCGAAACATATGTGGCCTCACCCTTGGGATCATTATTTACATTAGTGAAGCCGTTTTCATCTGTTTGTAGAGCATGGAACAGAAACTAAACAGCCATACCTGCTTCATGATACGGTCACAAAAGTTCTCATCCTCAGCAAAGTGCTTCAAGCAACCTAGAGCAGCGAAGGAGATAGGGCTTGGGCCCCTGGGTGGGATGGCAGCAGCATCTTCTGCTGCTGTACAAAGAGCCCACCAAAACCCCTTTCTCCATCGTATGTCGTCCCGAAGTAGCTCTCTTCCCGGTCTGATGGCCACATGGACAACCGCAAGCAAGAAAGAATTGGTGAAACTGATGTTGCAGAACTTCCACGAAATAAACAACAAAGTAAAACTCAGCTTCGCACAGTTACAAAACAAAGTAAAATTTGGAAGTGAAACTGTATTATCGAGTATGCACTACATTCGCTCCACTGCCAAGCTCACCCTGTTGAGGACGCCTTCTCCAAAACAAACAGTGAACCTGCCACGGCCGACTCCAGACTAGACATGCTACTACCCGTTTCCTCGAACTCTTCTTCTGACTTCAACTTCGTTCCGAGCGACAAAACGCTGAGAGCAAAATTGAGGCTACCGGGTGGGACCTGATTCTCTCTGTGTCAATAGATACGAATCAGAAATCGAAGTCAGAATTTGACGTGAAACAGTGCTATAAACCGTCAAGCGAGTTGGGATGTCTGAGTGAAACTTGTCAGTCAGCAGTTCTGTGTGTTGACATACAAATGTATAAAAAAAGTGTTACGCAGTTGTGAACATAAGGAAATAGTACTAAAACTTGCAGACCACGTATGCATATATCTGCATAGTCATTAACAGATAACAAATCCAAAAACTCCGTACAGTACGATCTTACTTGGCTAGCACGAAGCAAATTCTCCTCAAAATTCTTGTTGCTTGATGTAGGATGTCAGTCACCATGACAGGCACGTCATCCTTCTGTGCAAGACAAGTCTTGAGTGCTGGAGTGGCAAGGTCTACTGCCACAGTTTCTAAATCATCTGGTAGAAGCAACTGCGGGTAACGCTCCAGAAGAAGAGCCTGCAGAAAAGAAGAAGTCGGCGTGAGAAGAAGTGGATACCAGAGACAGCTCTGATTTGAAGGGGTAAGAAAGGGAAAAAAGTAGAAATTAATACTTACTGAAGTCCAGATTCGAACCATTAATTTTGGTATGTTACTGAAACATGCAGTTGACAAGAAGAAGGATTTGATGTGCGATTTCATACGCATTTCTGAATAGTGTGTACCTGAGACTGAAGAAGAAGATGGATGCGAGGCATCTGCTTACGCCACACAGTAGCGGAACCAGTTGGACCAGCGGCGTTCAAGTCCGCAACAGACTTCCGCAGATGCTGTAATCAGCCACACACACAGGAATTAAATGACCCCGTTAACACAGTCCAAGGCTCACCAACTCGCCAGTAGAAGTGTTGAGTGCACATACCCATCACTTCTAGACGCAAGGAACCACTTCAAACGACAAAGAAAATACTCACCGACAGAAGACTATTGAAGAAGCCTACTGGATCGTTAATCAAATACGAAGGATATCGCTTGTCATCGAGTAGGTTTTGTAAGTAGAACGGAGCTGCGAACACTGACTCTGTTGACACATCAACCAAGCAATTCATTATCATTGTCATTCATTATTACCCTTGATCTCGTTAAAAGACCAAAACGCTTACCTAAAAAACTTATACTCAATTTAAAGGCCAAAATGGAATATAATTGAAACAGTTTCCAGCTGGTGATTACGCTAGAAACAAAACACATACTTGGTTGGTGTTTCTTCCCGCCCGTCGCTGAGAACTACATTAAAAGGAATGATTATATCTTCTCCATAGTTCTTCAACACGTTTTATATTTCACTAGTAACAAGTTGATGCAGCTATCGTGACCCGAATACCCACATAAGATTCTACATATAAACCTAGAACTTCACAGAAAAACTCACCATCAAGTTCTGGATACGTTAGCGGAGATCTCGGAATGTGGATATAAAGTGCCATAGGATCTGTTGCTCTAAATTTCACATACGGCTCCAGCTCATTCGTAAGATGCTCCAGCAAGCGTTTCCGCATATCATCACTCCAAATGACCTCGGGTGCATCTTGCTCGGTTTTCAACAGAGAGATAAAAGACTCAGGTCCCTGTTGACAAATCCCGAACATAAATTAGATCCTGAGCATACACTTTTCGATAGAGATAACAAAACGAAGAAGGTAGCATGCCCAATCAACAGTCCAACAAGGCTCACTATTTAAAGCAAACAAATTCTTACCTCTGATATGAGCTTCAAAATGAACCCTTCTGGTAGATACAGCCGAAGAATACTATCCTGCCATGGCGAATGTTCCTGGTTGGATCGGGCCCCATTCTCATTGAGAAGGGAGTCTGGGTCCTGCAGGAGATACATACACGTTCTTGCAATGAAATGAAAGCCATCCCGTTCGGCCTCTATCAAAAACTAAGAGCAAGATATCCCATATCTAATATCCAGCAGATGAAGCATTTCATCAATACTATTGACACTGATGGGGTTTCAACAAAAGCTGCAACGTGCCCCAAAACGAACGACAGGATACTTCTAAGCACTTGTTTTCAATAAAATTAAGCCACTTCGGAAACGCAAGTTCCGAGAACTTTTCCTCTGCTGCTTAATACCTGATGAAGATGGGTCTGCTGTAAAAACTTGGCTATCAAAATCTTGTCAGTTGGATGAATATCCCCTGCAAGAAGTTTCCACATCAGGATTTCAAAAGCCCCAAGCTTGTAAAGCCGCGCCATAGCCTTCTTGTTTGCCTTCGTCAAAGAAGCAACAATCTCCAGAATCCTACAAGTACAGGTGCAATTACAATGAGCCCTTAGTTAAAGTGAGTACCGATGAGCATGGACAAGTACATGATAGGGGTAAGAAGTAGAGGAAGAGCATTAGAGAAATCCACATGAACTTTAGCTCGCATATTCCGAAGAGCAAAAACTTCTCTCTAAAGGTTTATACAAGCAAGCTGTATAAACAGGAAAATGAGTCTACCAACAGGAAAATGATGGACTAATAAGGATTTTTTAGTAAGACGATTGCGGAACGCTCACGATACGAATTTCTTTTTACTTATCTTTAAGAACAACATCTACACGACCTAATCATAACAAGATTCCAAGGTCGACAGTTTGGATCCAGTTGTGAGCGAAACAAAGTATGATAGAAGTACCTCCCAAAACTTGGAGTTTTTGCTCGCAGCAAAGTCTGCACAAGATGGCAAAATAGCTCCTCTCTCGACAAGTAAGATACTACCTCGGACGGTGGGAAGTGCTCTACGTTGCTGTCACTTCCAGAAAGTCTGCAGCGTAAGCATGATAGTTTAGCTTCTGTAACTCACGAGGTGATCATCTCTCCGTAATCTTGGCGTAAGTTACATTTCAGAGGAAGAATCTAATTCTAGGAGAGACCTCATCCTAAAACAGGTCATGTATTGAATGTCATGATGCTGTTCTAGCGCAACACCATCAAAGATAAAAGGCAATAATTCGAATGACAGCCAACCATAAACTCCCGGCTTGACATACTCTCAAAGGCGAAAAAAAGCCATAGCTTGTTTACCTCAGCAGAGCTTCCAACAAATCCAGTGCCAAGCCCAACTGAATTTTGTCTGGAACTTTGTCATCCGACCACTTGATAGCCTCTTTCGCATCTAAGCTTCCATCTTGTACAGCCCTGTCCAATACTTCTCGTGACCTTCCAGAAGGAATTCGTACGAGCCTCGTCTCTCCGTTGGGACCCAACACAGTAACTGTTTCTATTGCGCCTCGCGATTTGATTTCCTTTGCGTTCCATGCGTCGCACTCGAAGCTGTGAGAATCTCTGCAGCACTGCAGAAAAAGAAGAGAAATAAGCAAGTACAAAGGTAAATCATGAAAAATGCTTACGCAAATCCACACAGAATGTACTCACCCTAGCTTTGGGAAAAGATGTTGAAAATGAGTGAGGTTACCTTAGCAAGTGAAAATACAACCAAAGGAACAACAACAGTGGCACCGCCTGCTCGAATAAAACGAAGTACGTTATCCCGCCCTCCGTACTCCACTGTAGCCAGCAGAAACACAACCAACTTGAAGACGAGCACCTGGTGTTCGCTCTCATATATTTCTCGCAGCATCCCTACGGCAGTCTGCGAAGGCATTTACATATAACATATTAAGAGGCAATCTACCAAGGTACAAATTCAACCGACGTTGTCTCAGCACAAGACTTTCCTACCGAAGAAAAGTCAACTCATGATTTCGTCAGCTTCCAATACCGCTAATGAATGTATCACATAGATTTAAAACAAAAAACTGCTCAATGCAAATATACTTGGGAATATCAGAGGCACGCGGAACTAACTGGTACTTATCCGCGATATATTACCTCGATCACATTCAGTGTCTCAACACAGAAGTTGACCTGCTCAGCGTGACGCTCATACAGCCAGGTGAGAACATGTGCCGTCAACCGAAGATCAACCTCTGGTAAATGGTTGTGTCCATAGAGAGGAGTAAAGCCGAGAACCATGGCCTGGAATACCGACTGGAACAGAGATAGAGGATCTCGTAGCTGTCCGAGCAGAAACAGACATAAGAATAATGAGATGAAAATCCATCACATATTGATATCCAACTCTACTTTCAAACCGTACTGATAAGGTTTTGGCCAAGCTAAGACCCTGCGCCCTGGCTGCGTGGTGCCTCTAGTAACAGCATACCCAGCAACAAGTTTGATAAAATGAAAGGGTCTTGCTTATGAAGATATAACACTCCCAAAAGAGGTTAACTCCGAACTTCCAGGTTTAGAGTTTGTTGGCCTCAAGCCTTCTTTCTTAACAATTATATAACGAGTATATTAAAGTCAATGGCTCTCCATGCAATGGAACGTCTCTGTCCTTTTAAGCAGTAAAGTACGATAATTGTAAGAAATGCTTGTCACTGCCTTCGGAGCTTTGACTTGCTTTACCGAAATTTGAAAATATGAAATGGCAACACCTCAAACCCTTCTACTACAGGTAAAAGATCTACTTATAAACTATTACCTTCCAGAAGCTGGTTTTGGGATTGTCCGGAGGAGGGGAGAAATCCACAAGAAGTTCCAAGTGGACTCCACCAATGACAGAACCTGATTCAAAACTCAAAACATTCAGATAAAGTATTACATGTACCAGATTGCAAGAACAAAGAGTGGTTACACTCAAGCAGATGGTCCCCAATCTCAGCAGAAATATGGGACATGCTAAAACTATTACGTCAAAAGTTCAACTCACCGTTACCCTCACTAGCGCTCGAATAAACGAGCTGTACATCTGCACTGTTATACACCAACTCTCGATTGCTTGCTGAAGCAGCATCAAAACCCTCAACCTCGTCCCTGAGAAACTGGTCAAAATACAAGAAGGATTAAGAGAAAAGATAGCGGTATAAGAGATGCTGGAGACAAAACCAGGAAGTTATGACCAGCCTAAAGTAAATTCTGTAATCTTGAAGCTTCTAACTACATTTTCACTTCCCTTCCTCACCTGTTGTAGTTCTTGTCTCTTGATGTCATTCCACACTAGTCCAGGTGTCTCAAGCTGATGTAGTCTTAAGGTCTCCAAAGTTTCCATCCAGGCTGGAAACCTGCTTGACGTTCTTTCCTGCTTTGTTCAAATGTGTTAGCAACATTCATGCACGAACCAACTTGGGCAACGCTATCTTGCCACACAACAAGAAGTTGACTTAAGGTTGCAATTTATGGACCACATTACTTCACACAATTGAAAACAGGACAAGCAAGACAGCAGTTACAACGTTCACCTTGTTTGCAAGAGTCATTTCCGCGGCCTTTGTAGCATACAAGTGCATCACGCCCTGAAAGAGGAAAATTTACCAACAATTAGTACTCAAGTAGGATGCATAAGCTCCTGGAGACATTCTATCATCTGATAGATAGTGAAGTGACTGTACCCTCGGAAGTAGCGCTTCAAGAAGCTTCCGCGACTCCTTATTGCCTTCGAGCATAAGATAAACGAGGTTCCCACTCAACTCCCTCGTGTGTTGCTTCTTCGAGAAAATCGCGTTCTTCAGATGCAGCAGAACCACACACTTCCCAAGGCAAACTTTCTGCAACCATGGATCCAGAAATCAATTTTTGCATCTAAACTGAAAGGACACCAATTAGTTCAAAAACAATATTTGAAATTAGGATGCCTGACATCCAAATATAAGATGTGCAATTGCCTGCATGATTTCGGGGCAGTTGGAATCAAATCCGCGGTTAGTCTACGTTAAGTCACACATATCTGCGTAATATGGAGACAAGAAAAATTGTAAATCCATAAGCGACGTACTTGCAAATGGCTCGCTACAACTGGAGAAGTCTTCGTCAAAAGTGCTTTCAGCAACACTGAGTTACTGCGCACACGATATAAAGCCGTTCGCAACAACATACCGAGCAAAATCAGACAATCGTCCAGATTTTAAAAAGTCCGAAGAGTCACAAATCTTAGGTTGACAATGCAATCTACTATTCTAGGAGCTAGAGACACATACTGTGCATGCTGCATCTGTAAAGTAGATACCGGCACATAGTTAATCATACCTGTGGAAGACCACGGGACTAGGAGATCTACTTATTGCACACAGAACATCTGCGGCTGCCATAATCGAGGACTCGTATGCCTGAAACAAGAGTAAACGTGAGAGACTTTTGGTCCCACTATACATGCTGGCTCTATATACTAAATGGGCTGAAAGGTAAATGAATGTCATAGTCTTAAAACCAAAGACAGCAAGGCCTTAGTGCACAGTGCTAGTAGCCTAAAGCACAAATCTAAGCAAAACAAAGAAGTTTTTAATTGCCATCAATAATACTTTATGAAAGAAAGGGATCCTTCATATACCTTGATCCATGTCCGTCCCACTTCACTCTCTGTTGGCTGAGTACTCAGGGCCAGGGTAAATATCTCGAGAAGACCCACAATCTGGTATCCCATACGAAGCAGAAATACGAAGTTAAAACCATTTCCAGACATAACTCCCGAAAAACCAGAGAGCACCCAAATAACAGATATGTTAGAACCAGATCAAAGTTTCTGATCACACAGATGAGCCACATCATAAGTACAAGGAAAACGACCAAATTACCTGCAATATATGGGACTTCGAGAGTGAATGTGTATGAAGTAGAGCTACAAGTTGCTGTAAGTTATCAGCACTTAGTAGGCTAAGCTTATTTGCCAACTCATGCTGCACAAACAGTTCCAGCGCACACCTCAGAGGATTAAAAGAGGGCGAGGAGTTCGCATTCCGTTCTACACTGAAGGCAGCGGGAAAGAAAACATCGAGTCGTACAGGACATATTGAAACTCGAGATATATGGGGCTACCTTCGCGATGTTCACAGCATCTACGTTTCCTGAAGAGTCAACTGGCAGCTTGAGGGCTGATCTGACGACACCCGCAGCGAGATAAGCTAAGACCGCACTCTCTGATCGCATACACTGCAGAACAACAAATACACATCATAATGTAGACCAAAAAGCTAAAAGGAATAATTGTCAAAACAATAAAAACTGAATAGAGGTTTGACCGGTCTCCAATTAGAGCTACATAAATTCCGTTAAATTCATAAAAAGAACAGTACACATAAAGACTTCTTACCTGTATGAGTATCGGTGCCAAATCGGACATATATTTTACAGCTTCAAAGCAAGCTCTTGAAGAACAAAGTCTTTGAAGTACAATACAGCACGTTGTCGCGCAAACCACATCTTGACCCTGCCCAGAATTCCCTGATAGAAGGAGAGACCAGGTCTAAGTTAAAACTCATTCCCAGTAATTCATGAGTGCTCAACCAGACCACGCAACCACCTTCGTGAGCCACATAGCTCACGACCAAAAATTCACTTACCGAGACAATCTTTCAGAATGTCGGCTACTGCTTGCACAACCTTTGGATCGGCACACTGTGAATCCCCCACCTACGAAATATCACAAAACAGATAAGACAATGCCACAAACGACAAGTAACGACTACGACTACGCAGCAGCACCTGTCTGAGTTTCTCTTCGATAGCAGCGCTCCTTTGCCAGACCGTGTGGTCTCTCAGACATCTTCCAGACTTTTTGACAGTAGCTAAGCCTTGATCGATATCAATAACGCACATCTCAAAAAACTTATTCTTCGAACTATGCAGTTTTTTGTGATAATATACAGTAGGATCCCCTTACGTGTATATTGCAGGCATACTCCTTCAACAGGTGGTTCAGGAGAGATGGGTCACGGCTGTTATTGTAAACAGCCATAAGACGACCAATGAAGTATACCTCTAGTTCATTCTGTGCATATCCAGAAAGACAGAAAACGCGTCAGGGGAAACGGGGTCAAGGCATTTCAAAGACACATAGCAGCTCAATTCCGTCAAAAAAACTGACCATAACATATACATTTCATATCCTTAAGATGTGTTGATGTATATGTACCGAGCCTTTTAAACTCGCTGTATACATTAATGAAAAAAACTCTAATTGCTTACCTGGTAGACCGGATGTGATTTGTCTGGAAGCGTGAAGGGGAAGAAAGGTTCTGAACGAACGCTGAACTCAGAACCTCTATTCACATCCATGATTGATGCCAAACAGGCGATAAAGTCGTCCTTTTCCTCGATGTGGTATTGTGTTGCTCTCCATGATTTCAGCTCAAGAATCACCTCTTTAGGATTTTTGTCATTTGCAACCACACCTACCACATCATTCAAACTACAAAAAGTGGACCAGCTGTAAGTTAGTGATTGCTTGACAGGCATATGTCAACTGGAATAAGCAAAAAACCGAATCTCGGCGCGTGGAAAGAGTGCACGTATCGTTAGAAGGCTAGCAATCTGACATTTTCTTGGGTTCTCTTAATATGATCAAAGCAGATTTGAAGATCAAGTCCACAAATGAAGACACAAACTGTCGCACGTCAGATATTAGCACTCACACGTCAGATCTTAGCACCCAGAACAACACAGAAGAAGACTTAAGTTCTTTTACCTCTTACTCTTACTGGCACATGGTTTTTGCAAGTTTCTACCCCTCTAAGCTTTAGTTACTGCGTTAATAAATAATCAGTTCAATGCCTCCAAAGACAACAAAATCGCCTCATCATACATTTATCCTACGAGGTGAAAAATAAAAGGAAAAAATAACTTTAACTTAAGATGACATTGGACTTTACTTCGTACCTGTGCACACCTATGACTTCGTCTCCAGATTTCTCAATGCAGTAGTCCTTCGTCAGGCACAAAGTGCGCTCCCGCTCTTGTCTTTGAACATCAAGTCGTTTGATGACTTGAAACTCGTATAAGACAGGAGACTCCCTCTGCAGCCAACAGGCAAGCATTTCGTTCTTCGTAAGCGAAGGTTCAGGTAATGGGCAAGTGGGTACATTGTGGATATGCCGATCTGTGGGAACAAGTAGGAAACGCGACATTTCGAACAGCGGAAACTTACAACTTTCCGCAAGTAGGCAGCAACATTCTCAACCATGACGGGCGTCGTGATCTTCTCAATCTCCATCTCCTTGTTCAAATAGGTCTGTTACGTGGAAAGACACATTAACGGAGAAAAAAACAAGGCAAGGGTGAATAATAGCTCGGGTTGCTGCAATAGAAAATCGGCGCGTGACTATTAGACCTAGTTACTAGACTCTATTATACAATAGAGTTGATTGTTTCACAAGCTGTCAGATAAAGTCAAGCCGACCTACTTTCGTTATTTTCCTCTCCAATGTAAAATTGCAAGCAGATAAGTGAAACCAAACTTGGTGCGTGCAAGTTCTGTAAAGACAATAGATTAATCCCATGTGACCTCGCCGAAAGAGAAACCGCGACATCTATCCATGACGGGTCTTCTGTATTTCACCGTGAACACTTGGATATAATCACTGGCTCATTCAATTCAACTTCAAAGGAATTGAAAAGCAAAGCGAGAACTGCATCAAACCTTCATGTTTCGTTGTACCGCTTGTAGAAATGGAAGGGAGTCCTTCAGGGAAAGTCTCATTACTCTGGACTTGAGATACAGGAGCACAACGTGCTCGTCATCGATAAGAGTTTCCATTTTAATGATGTCCTGGAAGTTCACCTTCTTTGCTGGGTTGACCTGCAGGTATGTGCTTTAGCTTAGCAACTATTGATATGGATAAAGGATAGTAGGTGCTGTACCGACATAGTCGCCATGTTCAAGCTTCTTAACACATGCATCACGGAAAATGCTCGTCTTAATGATGAATTGAACACATGGTCACAGCATCAAAACTGTCGGACTTTTCCTGATTGACTTGTGTAAGACTTAAACCTCAACAGATACCCAAGTTCCGCATTAAAGCTTAAAACCGTCTTAGACAGAATGCTCACTCTGCGTCGTTCTTGTCGAACTCCTGTGCTGACCATTTTGACGAGCGATGCACTTCTAACACGTAACACGGTGTCGGCGAGTCCACCGCGTTGGTTACTGTGCTTTTGGAGGAAGAAGTCCGTACCTGCGTAGAATACAAGATTCAATTTAGTGGTACCATACGAAGTAAGATTATTTTCATCTCTAGCAGTCTCATTATTGGAGATCTAACATGAAGATATTTTTTCCCAATGAGAGGCAAGATACCTTAACGTCAAATGACAAATCATTCCAGTACCCACTGTCAGAGAAAAAACTCAAGGACCAACGCATCTATTACGTGCTGGATAAGTCTCGTAGAGACTACCCTCAACTTGAGTTCTCCAGGGCCGAGTTTTAACATCTCACGACCATACTTTTTCTGGTTATTCTTTTTAAAGTGAAGATTCCTTCACAACAATCACGCCCCTTTAATTTCTTCGACTTCGATTTCCGCTGTATAAATACACTAGACAGATAGAAATGTAGCTAGTGGCAAGTTGCTGGCCACTCTACACAACAAAAGATATGGGCGTAGGATGTGAAAGATCCCAGATTGCAGTTTATAGTCAATCGGACTCTCGACCAAACACTGAAAGTAAGTGGCCTAGGCGAGAAATACTGGGTGGAGTAGTATCATGTTCGTCACTGACTTCACTTTGCAAGCCCGCAGCGGCACAGACACCAGTACCTCTACTAGGGAAAACGAGGTCAATGAGGTCGATCTTTTCATCAAATTTCGCTATGTAAAGGTTCGTCTCCTAAACAGTTCACACAAATTAATTTTCATAGAAGAAATCTAGAGGCTCCTGCTTCTAAGGAACCGCTTGTGGAGCTCAAAAAGGATCGGATTTGCCCTCTGCAAGTGCAGGTACTACTGCAGTGCAAGTAAGCCGACCTCCACGACTATCGTCACTGACACTCATGGCAACATCAAATCGCTCACCGCTTGCACAGCAAGAGATTGCTAAATGTGAAAATCGTTCGTTTGGATATCGATGGTGACTATGGCTAGCTGTGCAGCAGCGCGATTCGGATCTCTGTTCCTCGATATGGATGCAAGAAAGAGGTTTTGAGCTTATGGAAACTAGAAGGCGAGCGCCACAAGCCACCGAGAATCATTTATAAAGCTGAGCCAGCTATTGATGGTTCGTCTTGACCATTAATGATTAAAAACTATTTTTGTGTCAATTTGATCTACGTAATCAGTTATGTTTGCAATCCATTGCTTCAGGAAGATTAAAAAAAGTCAATGGAGATCTGGGCTCAATCCTCAACAAGGTTCTTGCGATGAGGTACGAAGCCAATAGACCGGCTAAAGTCGATCAACACAGATAAAATCTACACTGTTCACCCATTGCCCATGGACAGAAATGAAATGACAGATGCGGACGCGATACTTACCAATGCCATTGACTTCGTCCAAGCGATTGAGTAGAGCAGTAAGAAGAGCAGACCTCGCTTCGCACGAAAATCGCAAAGTGAGCCCGCTGTCGATCACATCCATGGAAACCTCATAATTGTCCTCACTCGAAGGACATACATTGGACAAATTCTCAAAGTGGTACTCAAGCGGCTGCCCTGGATGCGGAGTCAAGTTGGTCAAGGTGATCGCGTTCTCCTCTATCCTTACCAGTCGCGTAACTCCTCTGGCAGGGCCCCCTCTCACAGATGTGAGACCCACGGGCCTTACCAGGAACACCTGGTGGTCCATAGCTACTAATCCTTTCTAGAAACTACAATCCCCGACTGTCAACACCTCCGGAAGAAAAGGTTCGAATTAAAAGGCTCATCGAATGCAAAACTAAAATTACAGATCCTCTCCCTGAAATTGCCACAACCGTGCAGATCAGTAATTGTCTCGCAGCTCGGAAAGGATGACAGGCTCGAAAATTGATCTATGAAAACTACAGCAAGCGTACTGGGTCTCCTCGTATAAAACACCAGAGGACCTCTCATTGAACTGATAACAATGCCCTGGGAGCTCACCGACCACAATTCATCTCATGAATTGGAGGACTCTTGCCCTCGAGTGAGGTTGATGCTGACGATCTCAAGCTAGCTTTCTCCGAGCGCCTCGCGGCCGATGATCCAACGCCAACACCTAGCAAGTACCAAAACTAATCTAATCCTCAGCTTTTTACACTCTAGCCGACAAAATTTTGCAAGACCTGGGAGATCCTCGTCGTCTACTAGCGTCTGCGTCCTGCGGCCGCCAGGGCCCGAGATCCAGCCTTCTACGACTAACAGCGAGCTGTCAAATGCCCAATGCAACCCGCGCTCCGTCGCTGCGGCAGGGCGTCCCGAGTCCAACGAGCGGCAGCAGTCATTCCTGGTGAGAACCCCGACTGCTGCGACGACCGCCTGTGACACGAGCGGCGTCGATCAAACTGCACAGAGGACGCGCAACTGCGGCAGCTCATCACTGCTTTCGCAAAGGGACATATAATTCGGATCCCACTTATGTCACTCTCTCTCTCTCTCTCTCTCTCGCCTCTCAGCACTCCATCTCGCTTTCACCTCACCTCACCTCACCTCGCCTCGCCACTCCAACCCACACCTCGCCAATCTCCTCGCCTGCTCGCCATCGTCGCCTCTACACGTCGCCAAACAAATCCCCTCAAACGTGGGAATAAAATAGAAAGCTCCCACTAGCAGTCGCTCTCACCAATCGGGCCTCCCTCATCCTCCTCCCGCTATTCCACCACGCGCCTTCACTGCACGCACGAACCTTGGGCCGCCCTCCCGTCCCCTTTTCCTCCTCCTCCCTCCTCGACTCTGACCGAAGCTCTCGCAGTCTCTCTCTCGCTGGGACTTCCCCTCGGGAATCAACCCTGTCGTCGTCGTCGTCTCCTCCTGCCCTCGAGCCCTCTGCCTGGGCCGACGAGCTTCAGAAGAAGATCGGATGGATCTGGCGCGCCTCCTCCTCTCCTCCTCCTCCTCTGCTGCTCCTCTCCTCTGCTCTCCTCGCCCTCTCTCGCCTTTACTCTCCTCTCCCCTCCCCTCCCTCCCCTCCCGCCCCCGCTCCCGCTCCGCGCGCCGGCAACTCCCGGCCTCCGTCCGCGCCCGCGGCCAACTCCGTCCGCTCCTCACACTCGGGCCGACCGCAGTAAATTAGTCAATTCCCCATCGGGCCTCCGGCTAAAGTAAGCGGCCCTCCGCCAATTCTGCGCCACAGGACTCATGATCGCACCACGAACAGAACGCATTCTACAGTCCGATTTTGTCCGCTCCCGATCCTGAATCGACCCGCAATCCCTGCTGGCTTCCCCGACTCCGGAACTTACGGCCAAGCCATTCCCTCGCCCCGTACTTTGCCTTATCTTCCTCCTTCCTCGCCCGAGTCATGCGCGAGGACCGGCTCGCAGTCGCGATCCGGTTCGTCGCCGTATGTATTCGCGCTCCCTGGCAGGGTCACCTGCCCCCGACCGTCCCAGGCGCCCGGCATCTGCAGGCCAGGACCGGTACGACATTCTCTCGCCGCGGTGCCCTGCGTCGTGTCCTCCTCCCTCGTCCGTGGTAACCTCGAGGGGCCTGCGGTTGGGCCGACCCGCCAAGTCGTTAGAGCAATACGTGCTTCCATGAACTTTCATGACCCGAGGGTATAATATTTCGATCCGCCCCAGCATTCAAATGTTCGTGTTACACGAAGCCGAATGCCCATTGACGGGCTCTCATCGGGCTTCGCGCGCTGGACTCTGCGACATGACTGACGAGCTCGGTCGCTCCTGCGACTCGTTCAAACATCACGGCACGCCTCGCCGGAGGACCTCGTCTTTTTTCTGGCTCTAACCTTCGAGCGTACGTTTCAGGTGGTGTATGGAGACTAGATGTGCATTTCTGCGGGTTAGCGGTTGAAGTCTATGCGTCGAGAGAATTATTAAACAGTCCGGGACGTAGTTGACCTCGAGGGTAAATCTTGTAGAGAATGCCCAACCCAGTTGAGCGACGTAGACCTTGTTTGAAAAGGTCAAATCTTCCAAGATTCCCATCAATTAGGGGATTCGATTCTGACCTTCCGAGTTCATCTGTGCCGCGTTTGAAATTATGCAAAATCACTGATGTCGAGATTTCAAGTCAGAATTCGAATGCAGCAAGTTTTTGCAAAAGGCTTCAAAGTATTAACAGGATGTATCTCTCGCATCCATCTTCAAAGTTGGGCTCAAAATATCAAATAACGATTTTTTCCTGCGTGCCATTGAATCCGAAAGTTGATATTTATGGTATCCAAAAGGGTCAGGATTTTATACCTTCCAGCAATGTCCTTGCAAGGACCTCAAGCATTAAGTAAAGTAAATATATAATAAGACTGGTCTCTAAAAGACAGCACTCATATCACGAAGATACAGGTCTCAAAGGGTGATTCAAGACCAACGCGGAGGAAGGACAAATGTTTGACAACAAGGCCTCTGTTCCTCTGTACCTGTTCAATATTACGGGGACCCTTTATCTCAGCCTCGTATCAACAACCAGCGATCCACGGTAATAAAAACGTCCCAAAAATTACAATAGTGCCACGCGTAAAGGGGGCTTCTCTTGAAGAGCAGAAAAAGATGTAAATGCATACGATTCAAACCGCCCCCCCCCCCCCCCCCCAAACCCAAATGAAATGATTTTTCCAGTTAACACACAACCACTCCGCGAGTCGGTGATGAATAAAGCCCTCAGCAGTAATGAAAGCATGCAACAGACTCCAAAACTGTCAAGAAAAAGAACTCATCGCGCAGATAATCAGACGAGAAGAGAATAGATGTGGAGAATGCGGTGGATCTAAATTTGTTACTGCGTGACGTGGGGCACGAGCTGCAAGCATTCTTGGCTGGACAGTGGGGACATCCCCGGCGAGGTCACCTCGGCATGCTCGATCCACTCCAATGTGAGGTGTTTCACGGAACTGCGTAGAGGATGGGGGGCCCACGAAGGTCCGCAGATCATCGTGATGAGACTTGCGCGAGATTACTGTCTCTAGGCAGTTGATAAGAGTCAACCGCGGGACGAGATCATTCCTGACAGAAATCGAAGAAGGACAGTCGGAGAAAAGCGGCACTGGACGGCCTCGCGGGCAGCAAAATCCCGACGTTCGGCGTCTGTCTGCGAATTCGCAAGGACGGAGAGATATAATAGAGACCGAGTTTGACATTCGCCTTCCGGGGCCACGTTGCCATTGGCTCGCTGACCGTGGGCCCCACATCCAGTCTCCGAAGGAGTCGCCCCCAGAAGAAGGCGTCCGTAACCCCCGACAGTGGAGCGAGGTTGCCCGCCTGCCCGCCCGCTTGCCTACCGCAGCCTTGATGTTAATCATGGGAGGCGCAGTTGCGCATCTGCAGCGAAAGTTGTGTCCCGAAATTGCGAACGGCGAGATCGAAGACTCGAAGGTCAAGCCATGAACACCTGTCGACGATATAAGCCAGGCCCGACAAGTCGGGTGTCAATCTCGACGCTAAAGGAGATCTATCTCACCAGCTACCGAAAGAACTGAACCATTGTCTTGTCGTGAGGCCGAAACAAACTTCTCTCCGGATCCGAGAACCAGAACCGGCCGGTGTCTATGTCAAGCCAATGGCACGAACTTTTTAGGCTTTTTTCAAAAAACTAGAGCTCGAAATCCGTCACATGCCGTACACCTTATTATCACCGATGTGAAAACAATGTCGAATTTTGTTAACTGAATGTATTAATCCAATTTCGAATAAGGAAGGTCTAGTTTGCATTGTCCTATTTTCTGCTTCCGTACGTAGAGCACAAAAATGAGATGAAAAATTTGTAATCTGCAAAAAAAAAACAGCGAGTGAATGTAATGCTGGTCTACTTCCTCTTTTTTAAATGTTTACAAGACGCATTATAATCCTCGAAAGAATCTGCAGATAAACTGGATTATTCTATGATGCGACCGACGTTTAGGGCTTCGGCCGCTCCGAGGAAACTCGGAGCATGATGCATCATGATTGTATGATCAATCTCAAGACAAATGCTCCAAGAGTTGAAACAGAGCTATAAAGAGAACTACAGACTGTTTGATACGTTATTTTGGAAGAAATCATCATGACCGTTTCATCTAAAGTCAAACATCCTCTTTATAAAGCTGGAAAAGAATTTGCGATAATATTTTATATCTTCTCCTTCGGTTTCAATCCATCAAATGCATATGTTGGCTCCAGTCATTATATCCATGTCATCGCCTGGCCTCACCCCTCTCTTGAACGTATTTTTTTCATGATATTTCGCTCATTGCATCAATATTTTCCTGCCCTCTTGCTTCAGGGATCCCTTTCGTGGTGTTCCCATAAAGATATGATGGGATCTCGCTTCGCAAATTCAACAGAATATATTTTCATCAAAATGACATGAGTTCGCAAGTATAGTTCGTCCCAAGCGTATCCGTGCTTTTTTCTAGCGAGGTCTACAAAATATATGCTTATTTCATTGTATTTAGTACATATATCTCATGTAAGACTTCATATCAAGACACTTTAAGATCCTAGCCCTTTGTTAGTTGTTTGGTTTGATGTTGTCTTTACATCTTTTTTTGAAACAACCATGTGGTACAGATAGGTTTAATTTTTTGAATTGAAAAAAATAAGTACTTTTGGCAATATAACACAATTTGAAGTTATTTGGGAAACCTAACTTCCATATTAAAATAGCAAACATGCGGCAAGCCAACGGATGTTCATCAAGAAACCTTAGGCTAAGAGAAAAATAACAACTGGGTATGTTTTTCTTTAACTTATCACAAGGGGAAATATATCTGTTTCCATGATATATTTGACCTGCTTCTGCAGTAGTGTTTGTGACTAAAAGACGTCAAATTTACAGCACGTAGCAGCCCAATATTTTTATTTATTTTCAAAACAATGCAATACAATAAATAAATTGAAGATTTGATTGACTTGCGTGCAAGAAGACTAAAGGTACAATGTATCTATCGACTTCTAGCAAGTTATCAGGCGGTCACAAATATACATGCCACTTTTAAGAAAATCATTGATCGTTTGCGAAAGAGTCCAGAATCACCGAGGACCCAGTTTTCATCCACTCAGTTTCTAACCCCCAACGAGATGACGCATGAGACCTTTCATACTTTTAAGAATACCCCAACGATTATGCATGTAAATCAGAGTCCCACATGGAAAGATAAGAAACTTGCGCTTGATCCACATCATGAGCAAGAAGTTTAAAACACTTGAATGTGGCGTAAGTCAATTATCTGAATGATTTACCTGCCTTTAATGATGAGGAATTTATTATACACTCATAAGAATCACCTAGCGGGTCCACAGTTGGTGATGAAAGTATACAATATCACTTCTAAGTTGGATTGGCTTTCTTTACTCTGACTTAAAGCTGATTCTGCCGGCACTTTTCTCCACTGGATTTTCTGATCATAAAGCTCTATTTGTTAACCTTTTAGCGTCATCTTTACTGAAATAGGTGGTCATAGATAGAAGAATGTACCCTCTGCAATTTACAATATCTAGACCTTTTAATAATCTTACTCTTTAACTTCAGACCCAAGCAAACATTTCATTTTTTAAGTCCTTAGCAGAGCTCGTACTCTAATAACGAGATTTCTGGTAAGCTAGGATGATCAGTCTAGCCATCCATAGGTCTAGATTCGATTTGTCGAGCGTGTTATTGACAGACCTCTATGTGAGTGACTGTTTCAAGTTTATGTGAGTGAGTTCTCTTTGACTCATTCTTATATATATATATATATATATATATATATATGATGGAGATATAGAGAGACAATAAGCACTGGACGAATGTACCGCTGATTTGAAGTACCATGTTTGTATGATCCATACCGAACGAAAGAGTAATGTCAATTTTTGCTCGGTGGAGAAACATTACTGTGAGAAAATTCCAGTTGTTTAGAAATTATCTATTGGCTTCACTACAGCAGGCCTTTCCTCGTCCATTAATATATGTACAAGTAGTGTGCTCAGAAGACGACCTGCATGTGAGGCCCTGCCCCACGCGAGAGCCAGTCCATCGTGCACCCAGGCCAACACACATCTGTAGCACCCTTCACATATTCTCTTCGCGAGAAAAGTCGCGGCCTGGTGAGTTCGTAGGAGGAGGTTCAGAGGTAAATGCTGTACTTGCATTTTCCTACTTACCAGAACCGACCTACCGAATGTGCAAATGCCTGGCTTGCACTGCCTTGCACAGGATGGAGAATATGGTTTTCCGAGGGAGGGTTGACGATATCAGTTCGAGGCGTACTTTTTAATAGGAAAGTTCAAACACCGCGTCAAGCGCCTCCAAATGACCTCGTTGGACCCCAATTGCCCCACCTGGACTATTCAATTTGCAAAATGCCCAAGGATTCATCCTGCCACGTGAGCTCCCGAGAGACTGTGACAAGCATATGTGGCATTGCATTCTACAAGAATGTAACTGTAACCCACATCAAGTCACGCAGCAAACAAAAAATAAATATGACGCAATCTACAAGAATGTAACTGTTACCCACATCGAGTCATGCAGCGAAATAAAATAATAAGACACACTGGATTCAATATGTCCCTTCGATATCTAAGATATCTTGATTATAATTGAAAACAACGATCTAGAACAACCGTCTAATTAATCGTTTATATTAAATAATTATATACTATACAGCATGGTAGACTTCTCCATGGTTTGAAATATGTTTGAATTACCCTTAATTGCTCGATATATATTTTTTAGAGCTATAAAAAAAAGGGTATACATAATGACCAATCTAGTTTTTTAATTACAATATGGTACATGCTTACTAGAATAGGCTATAAAGCATGCTGAAGAGAGTAATAATCTCTGAACTACAATTCGGGATGTTCTTTCGTAGTTTGGAATATGTTTATGTCTTCTTTATTTGCTCAATATGAGCTATGAAAAATAAGTCAGGAAATCTTCTATACATTGGTGGCTGATCCTCCCATCCATGAAAATGGTAAATTAACCTTTACATTTTGCAAAGTGTGACCATATCGTCGGGGAAAATCAACATAATAATCATAAAACAAATATAGGGCTGTCATATCAAAAGTTGATTCAACATGAATAGTTCACATTAAAATGCCATAGTTAGCATCACACCACTAATGTATAGTTATCATTTAACATCTTCGTACACAATGAATCATGAAGGTATTTCCATCTAAATTTATACAATATTCACATAATGGAGATGCATATTTTTTAGACAAGCCAACTACCAAACTAAATCTGGACGTATAATAGTGTTTGCAAGTGGGTGAAAATTTATAACTCTTCTAAGATAGCATAGCATAGATGGAGAAGTATCAGGAAAGAAATCTACCCAATCAAGAACTATCGTATTATGAAAATACAATGAATGCACCGCAGAGATTGGTTGTGAACGTTTATATCCACATCATAATACCTAAAGCCATGAATTGCTCTAGAAATTAATTTTATTCTTATATCAAAGTTGCAAAATAAAACCTCCCATTTTCGTAATACTCATACTACGTGCTGATGAATCAAATTCCGGTTAGATTTGTACCCTGAAGTACTTACGCTACCACCTTTTAACCTATAGACACAAGTCCAAGTAAATCACAACTGACCAGCGGGATTAAACATAATCAAATCATTGTCTGTATTTGCAATAAATGTCAAACTTTTTTTTAACGGAAAACCTAGATGTTCCATGATATGCATGGGTAAAATAGCTAAAAACATGTATATAATGTCTTCTTCATGAACGAAAAAATTACGACTTTCCGATCATAAAATGCAAAGGACAAATGACGTCACACCTGCATTCAAGACCAGTGCCAAACTTGACTCTTTACTGATCGCGCCTGAACTTGAGGTCTGTCTGGATATATGTGATTTCAAACCAATAAAGAACTCAATATATCTGGAATTTACTGTACATGGATGAAAAAAAATAACCACGCCTCATGTAATAAATGAAAAGTTTTGCTCTCTCCTGGTAAAAGTGTGAATTCGTCAGATTTAGAAGTTAAACATTGTGCATCAAAGAGCCTTTATTTCTCAAAATGTTTAAGGGACATCAAATGTTGTGATTTTGAAACCAGAAGAAACGATCCCTCCACTTGAATCACGAGTAGAGCCAAGAAGATTGATGGTAGCCAACTTTCATATAGTATATGCTTGTTAGAATGTCATAAAAGCTTCCATTAGATATTAATTCCGTCATGGAATACATTTATCCGGGCCAGCTAGAATAAACATCATAATTTCTAAGAAATAAAGCTATGTCATCAAGTATCACCTTGAATTGTGAAACCTTTCGAGAGAAGTAACATATACATAATACCTAGGGTATCTACAGCTGAAAGAATGATTACACACAAGGTCAAACTAAATTTAAAGGTAATATGGCAACTATAAGTTCAATGGTAGCCATACACCCAAACTGATCCTTTGTAGCTTGATCACAATGGTTTCTTTACACATAAATATATCTTCCATCGTGGTATTGGCTCCACAAAATTAATCATTACATTGAAAATGTGAGAAGTGCCATGTATACTTTAATCGCTGTGTTTGCGTTAAATATATTAAACTATCCACCTTTTCTTATTATAAAGTTATCACTTTTAAATTTAAAATGATTTCAAAGAGTTGCACACCCAGACAAACTATATATCACGGCAAGATAATTGTGTTTTGTATTTTATGGCTTTAAATTATGTATAAGCATTATTTAAGATATTT